GTCTGTAGCTCTTTCAAAGTGAAGGGCTGCAGGTGTTTTATAGGAGGGACTTGCAGCCTCAGATAGGCATTAGGGCCTGAAAGAGATATGGTAATAACTCCTGAAAGAAGTAAATTCTGAAAGAATTGAGATTGGATCTAACTTTAGAATTAATTTAGGGTATTTTGCAAAAAGATTAAGTTATTACTAAGAACTAGAAGACGATGATGGGGGGAAATGATGCATTTCAAGATGAGAAAGGAAGCTGTAATTCCAGATGTAGAGAAGACGCATGCTGAGTACATGGGCGAGGCTGAAACAGAGATGAGGTAAAAGTGACTGAGTTTCTCCTCATGAGGGGCTGATGTGATATGTACTCATGAGTATAATTGCGAAGAGAAAAAAAAGTAACCATGAGGAGTCTGGGATGGGAAGAGGGCCCAATTTTAAGCTATATTCTGTCCTGTGATGTCAAGGGCTCTGAAGGTTAAGTGCCCCATTTCCAGTGTGGTCCAGAGGAGAGATACAGTAGTCACCTACCACTGACCATCCTTCCTAATTATCTCCATCCCACTTTTGTCTTTAGGTTAGGGACCAAGAAGGAGACTTAAGACACAAAGGTGGAAATGTAGGTCTACAAAAGAAGATTTGGGGGTTGTTTCTTGCATCCTTAGATTGGCCCTACCCAAAGCACTTCCATCAGCCTTAGTGATTTCTGAATCAAAAAACGTGAATCAGAAATGAAAGCTAAAATCATAACCAGGAGCTGCCAGCTTCCAAACCAAACCTGGGAACTAGAAGCACCTGAACACACTGCAAGTAACCAATAAACCCTGCCATATTTGAATTAATAGCCCATATAGGAAATGAAGTCCAATCAAATCATTAACTTTTTTAAAGTGACATATGAAACAGCAAAACTGGAAAATTTCTTTGTAGTGGAAGAATTTTAGAAATATAGGATAGCACTCAACTTATTTTATTGTATCTTTTGAAATATGAGAATGTTAAAGTTACAAAAATTTGGAAGCTTCATCAAAGTAGAAAAAGAGATTCAACTTTCCTGGTTTCAAAGGAAAGTCAACTCTGTATTCTTTGAAAGATTTAAGGAAAATACTGGGCCTAAAATTAACAGATCATGTTCCCAAATTTCTGGAAATTTATATTTTGGGACCATGGTGGTTTTGGTATCAGCTTTCTCAAAACATATTTGGCTGAACAAAGTAGATTTCAGTCCACTTTTTTGTAAAAGAAGCTATCCATCATAAATATTGAATAGTCAGAATTTGGATTAAATTGAGCCCCATGTTACAATGGTAACTGGGACACTTTTCCTACTATGGAGCAACCCAAATCCCAATGATTTTGAGAGTGAAATGAATCCCAAACTAAATCATAGTCTATTAACAAAACTACTTCTCAATGCAGACAATACTACCTCAGATTTGTCTTTCGCCTCATAATGTTAGTTATTTCCTCATAGATTATTTCCTGTATTTACCACAATAATCCCACATGGCTGAGAGAGCAGATATTACTCACCTCATTTTACAAAATAGTAAAACTTAGAAATGGAGATATTCCTTGACTTTCCCCATATCATCATATGAGTAGAGCTGGTACTCCCCACCACATTTCATGGCACCTACTGTAGAACTACTAGTGGAGCCTCATTAGGTTTAGTCAAAACCAGAATATCTTTAAGCACAGAATATGTTAGCAAGAACATCAAAACCTGAGGACCTTACAATCTGGTCAATTGATTTTTGATCAAAGTGCTAAGAGGCTTCAATGGAGGAAAAAATAGTCTTTTCAATAAGTGGTGCTTAGGCAACTGGATATCCATTAATAAAAGAATGAAGTTGGACTCCTACTTCACACCATACACAAAACTTAACTCAAATGGCTCATAGACCTAAATGTAAGAGGTAAAACTTCTAGAGGAAAACAGAGGCATAAGTCTTCCTGATCTTGGATTGGGTTTCCTAGCTATGACACCAAAAGACCAAGTGACAATAGAAAAATAGATAAATTGAACTTCATCAAAATTAAAAACTTTTGTGCTTCAAAGGGCACCATCAAGAAAATGAAAAGACAACCCACAGAATGGGAAAAAATATTTGCAAATCACATATCTAATAAGGGACTTGTATCCAGAATATATAAAGAAATCACACAATTTAATAATTAGAAGACAAATGACCCAATTACAAAATGAGCAAAGGATCTGAATAGTTGTATCTCTAAATTAGATGCCCAAATGGCCAATAAGCACGTGAAAAGATACTCAGCATCATTAGCCGTCAGAGAAATGCAAATCAAAACCACAATGACATTCTACTTTATACTTACTAGGATGAATAAAACAAAAATGATAGACAATATCAAGTGTTGACAAGGATGTGGAGAAATTGAAAGCCTTGTACAAAATGATGTAGCCACTTTGGAAAACAGTTTGGCGGTTCCTCAAAAAGTTAAACATAGAGTTGACATGTGACCCACCAATTCCACTCCTGTATTCAAGAAGAATGACTACATATTTGCACACAAAAATTTATACATAAATCTTTATAGCAATATTATTTATAGTAACCAAAAATAGAAACAACCCAAATGTCCATCTACTAAAGAATGGATAAACAAGATGTGGTATATCCCTAAAATGGAATATTCTTTGGCATAAAAAGGAATGAAGTGCTGACACGTGCTCTGACATGGAGGAGTCTTGAAAACATTATGCTAAGTGAAATAAGCCAGACAGAAAAGATCACATATTGTTTGATTCTATTTATATGAAATGTCCAGAGCAAGCAAACCCATAAAGAGACAGAACGTAGATTAGTGGTTTCCTAAGCCTGAAGGGAGGTGGATAGTGAGAATGTGGAGTTACTGCAAAAGGGTATGGGATTTTGGGGGGAGGATGTTGAAAATGTTCTAAAATTAGATTGTGATGATTGTGCAACTCTGAATACACTAAAAGCCACAAAACTGGACACTTTAAATGGGTGAATTTCATGGTATGTGAAACATATTTCAATAAAGTTGTAAAAAAAAATCAATGCCCCTCCCCCAAAAAATAATCCTTAGGACACAATTTTACGTCTACACAGTCCTAGAAAACCAATAAATCCAATTCCTGCATATTGAGTGCTTGAAGTATATCATGATAGCTACTTGCTTCATTACATTTTACCTTGTCTCTTGGAAGGTCATTTTCACTCTCCATTCATTCAACAAATAGTTTTTGAATGCCTATTCTGTGCCAGATATGGCACCAGGTGCTTGGGATGGATGCCTCATTTAACACAACAGCCAAAGATCCCTGCCCTTATGGAGCTTACATCCTATTGGATTTATGTTGATTGTATGCTCAAGTACAACTTAGCTCCTAGGGCTCATTCTAGGAGATACTTTCCAAGCGGAGGGTGCTACTTCTCAGCAGTTTCACTTTCTCCATCACAATGTGCCCATGGTTTTGGTATGAACCCATCCTTTTCACAGTTCGGTTGTAGTAAGTTATTAAATTCAGTTTGAGGTCAAAAGGAAAGAGAAGAAAGTTCTTGAAAGTAGTGGAGTTTCAAGTAAATATTTCCATAGATAGTTAAATTTATTTAGGAAGCCTCAAAGGCGACTGGAAAGGATGACATAAAAGTAATGGTAAGAGAAATTGAGCCCAGTGGTTAACTTGCTTGAAATATTAGCCTGAGTTCCACATTCTGTACTTGTCCACCAATGCATTTTTTATTTTTTCTTTTGTTGAGTAAACATTTAGCAAACAAGTCTATGTGCCAATCTGACATAGGACATGATCTCATGGTTTGCTGCAATGGCCAGTGACCATCATCTTCTCAATAAGATGTCTTGAGTAGTCTTTCTACTGTGTCTTATGATGATCATGAATAAAACTCAAGGAATCCTGGCCTCTGGAAACAGGACATGATTTCTCTGAACAGCCATCAATGGACTTTTATCCTGAACTCCTGACCCTACTTCCAGTTTATCTCATTCATAGAGAATGAAATTACTCCAGTTGCATAAAGCATCCCAAATCAAAAGGGCTTAATGACTGGGCCGTGTCTTCTCCCTGAGATATGCTAGAGTAATCATTGCTATTGTCATTCTTTATAACACTGCAGCTTCTCCTGCGCTGTGTTAAAATCATAAAACCCATGCATGCTATCTTCATTTCCCACAGCTGTGGTTTCTGGGTCTCTGTTTGTGAATAAGCATTTCAGAATTGTCACGAGGTGGAGGAAATAGCATGTGCAGAGTATTTCCCAAGCCCAGTTGCCAAGAATGAGCTAATTGTAACCCTCCCTTGCATACAATGAGTCTTAAAAACTTCAAATACAAGCCATTCTATAATGATCTACCTTTCCAGGAGAATGGCATGCTATCATTGTAGAACCTTAGTCTTTTAGAAATAGACCAGAAGTTAAGTTTTAAATTATGTCATAAGATTAATAAAATATTCAACCATCCTTTTTCTTTTTTGATGTTTTTATAGTGATTAAATACAAAGTTGGATGTCTGTATTTCAAAGAAAAGTCAAATAAATGTGAAGTAACCTTGCTACCTAGCTTTTGAAAAATTTTTCCAAAAGACATTCACCATAAAAGTATAATATTAGGTTTTATTAACTTACTTTTTATGTTTAACAGGCCAAAATTGCACTTTCTTTCAAAATATAAAAGCAGAAATTGCAAATATATTTCATGTCAATTTCCAGGTATGTAATTTGTATAGCTATGTTATGTACATAATGTGCTAAGAAAGATTCTGAGGCTGAGTCTGGTTTAGCAGAAAAGAGCGCTATCATTGGATAATAATGTTTTCCAGGGTTGCAAGATAGGGAGTAGACATGTAAGTCCTATATTTGCCATCCCTGCATAATTTGAAAAAGAGTTAACATTTAAAATATCTTTTCAGCAATTACCAGAAATATTCTAGTCTACATTAAAAAGAGCATTTAACTGGAAACAAAGGCCAAATTAATGTTTACCATTCCATCTATCCTGTAGGTCAATGCATCACGTCAAGAAGCCAAATTGATGGAGGAGTGTGATCTTCTCATTGAGATCATTCAGCAGAGACGACAAATTATTGGAACCAAGATCAAAGAAGGGAAGGTAAGATTTCTAGGGCAGAAGATTTCATATTCTCTACCTGGAGAAAATATCATACTCCCATGCCCTTCAGTATTTTAGGAAATATTGAATACCCTCCTGTTCTATATTTTCTATCATCTTCTCTTAAGTCTTTAAGATGTAGTTCAAAGCCCCTTGGTTGGCCAATTTTTTCTCCACCCCTTTCTTTGTATTATGGTCTCTTATGCATACCTGTAATATAAGGGCTGCTCCGTTACCCAACTCCAGGGGGCCGCATGGAGCTCTGGTCTCTTATAGCCACTGTTTTCCACTTCTCTTCTCTGTGAGAAGAGGGGTTCCGTAGAGGAAGAGTTCATTTCATATTTATTGCTATATCCTAGCAGTTAACACAGTGTTAAATAAATGTTTAAGTGAATCAGACTTTATATATAGAAATTGTGAAGTGCTTTCCAATGCCCTTGAGGGAATTTAGATAGGTATAATTTCATGGTGGCAAAATTCCTATAGTGTCACTATATCATATACCCCTTTGTGGATATATTAATAGTACTTCTTTTCTAATGTTTGTATTTTTAAAAGTCCTTTGGTTTTACAGTAAACTATATTCAAAAAGCAATTCACAAATTTATATTATATTCTTTATGGCCACTTTCTTATTTATTCAAAATTCATTCAGAAACTGTTGGTATTTTTAGAATTTATCACTTTATTCTATTTTTAAATTAGTCATATTTTTATTGAAATACTTATCCATTTTATTTTACCCATTTCTGTCCACCTTCAAAGGATAATTTTGTGAATATTTAAAAAATAGAAATATTCAAGATCCAATGAATTCATGAGTTTCTATTACTGCTCATAACTGTATTTTGATGAAATATGTATAATTTAATCAAATTAGCATGTATTAAGTAGTACACAGAGATTACAATAGCTAATATATGTGCTCTTCTCTGTTTTTTACAAAATGTAAAAGGTACTTCTAATATTGTATAATGTTTTAGATTACTTTGTCTATATAGATTGAAAAATATTTATGCATGTAAACTGTGATGGTGATCAGAAGAGTTAAAGTCAAATCAAACCAAATTGTTCTGAAAACTGTTACAGTGAATTAACAAATTAATATGAAATTATTCCCTGGCCAAAGACTGACTCAGATGTGTTGAGAAGCTACTTTTTCTCACATGCAAATTGTACAACTTAGAAGAGCACTGAGTGTCAGCCTGGAATCCTTACAGGATATATTTCCTCTTCCATCATCTTGCACCACATACGTACATCTCGTAATACCTTACATCTTCCAGGTTCTCAGACACTTGACTGCCTGAAATACAGCTGCAATTAATTATTAATATGCAATGGAAGGTGATTTGTTGCCTTTATATGGTCGTGTGCAGGGATTGGCTCTCAATACTCATATTAGTTTCTTATTGTTGCTGTAACTAATTACTACAAACTTGGTGCCTTAAAAGAACACAGATTTATTATCTGATCTTCTGGATGTCAGAAGTTCAAAATCAGTCTCACTGGGCTAAAGTCAAGGTTTTGGCAGTGCTGTTTCTTTCTGGAAGCTCTAGGGCAGAATCCATTTCTTGCCTTTTTTGGCTTTTAGAGGCCACCCACATTCCTTGGCTCACAGTTTCTTCATCACATCACTCAGACCTTTGCCTCCATCCTCAAATCTTTCTCTGACAGACTCTCCTGGTTCTCTCTAATAAGGACCCTTATAATTACATCAGGCCCACCCAGATAATCCAGGATAATATCCCCTATCTCAAGATCCTTAACTGAATCACATCTGCAAAGTCCCTTTTCTCATGTAAGGTAACATATTAAAAAAAAAAAAACTCCTGGGATTAGGATGTGGGCATCTTTGGGGGCCCTTATTCAGCCTGCAGTGACACTCCACCACAGCTTCCTGGCCAGCATGCCTTCCTTTCTCTCACTTAACTTCCCAGCATGAGGGTGTCTCTCATGAGCTAGATCAAAGTAGTGAAGGGGTATCCCCAGTTCCAGCCATGGTGGTGCGTGGGGTTCATGCTTGGGTGCCCCCGCTCCACCCTGAACACATATCAGTGATAGACAACATAGTAAAGTAGAAAAGCAAAGAGACATAGCTGGGCCCAAAACAAGATGAATAACATCTTCCGGGCCAGAAATGCGACAAAACTTCAGAGCCGTGACTGTGGCTAAGACACAGGCTACTGGGACTTGGTCTGGAAGAGACCAAATCAGCTACACCTTCAACTCCAGTGGATAAATAGTTCTTGAAGCATTGGGGTAAATGGGCTAGAAGTACTCCAGATGGTATGGGGGGCTGAAATCAGGCTCATTGGTTAATGCCATGGGCTGCATATGGTTTCCCAGTTCATTAAAAGGGACAAAAAAGATTATTGTCAACCTCTACCTAGGGCCACAGCTTTGAGCAAACTTCAGGCCTGGGAGTCTGGAGCAAGTGAGTTGTTGGTTTAGTGCCTGGCTCTGCACTATTTCTGATACCTGCACAAAACAGGAGCCTCAGAAATGCAGAGATAATATAGGATTCCTGAATGAGGACCCCCGAAGACAAGGTGAAGGCGACTGTAAAACCATTAGACAGGGTAGACTAAGCAAGGAGGGTGAGGGAGAAACAAACTATGAATGACACCTTCCCTTTCAAACTGAAATTCAAACCACAATTCCAAAGCATATAAGGAAATCTTGAATTTCTACAAATACAGCCAATAAAAATCAGCAAAGATGATATCTCACCCCAGGTGAAACTAATTTTATGAGAAAATATAAAAAAGATGTTCAAAGAGATAAATGAAGGAATAACTTCTATTATAAAAGAGCAAAAATTATGAAACCACAAAAGAAGGATATGAAGTAAGAAAAAATAAATATGAAAATAACAAATTAACAGTTTTGGAGGTAAAAATGTAGACACTGAAATTACAAAGAAAACTCAGCTGCAAGGGAAATTTGGAAACTGAGTTTTAGCCTCCACATAGGGGAGGATATCTTCATGTAAGAAATGAAATTTCATCCATACTTCATACCATATACAAAAATTAAATCAAAATGGATCATATACCTAAATGTAAAAGGTAAAAACCATAAAACTTCTAGAAGAAAACATGGGAGGAAATCTTGGTGACCTTGGGTTGGGCAAAGATTATTTATATACAATGACAAGAACATAAGAGAAATATTTACAGATTATATAATTATAAATTATGTTTCATCAAAAATAAAAACTTCTCTTCAAAAGGCACTGTTAAGAGAATGTAAAGATAAGCCACAAATTGGGAGAAAATATTTATAAATTATTTATCTAATAAAGTACTTGTATCCAGAATATATAACAAATTCTCAAAACTCATTAATAAAGAAACAGATAACCCCTTCACCAAATGGATAAAAGATTTGAATAGATACTTTACCAAAGAAGATATATGGATGGCAAATAAGCACATGAAAAGATATTCAAAATCATTGGTCACTAAGGAAATGCAAATTAAAACCTCAATGAGTTGGGGCCAGCCTCATGGTTTAGGGGTTAAGTGCGTGCACTCCTCTACTGGCGGCCCAGGTTCGGATCCCGGGCGCCCACCGACGCATCGCTTGTCGGGCCATGCTGAGGCGGCGTCCCACATAGAGCAACTGGAAGGATGTGCAACTATGACATACAACTATCTACTGGGGCTTTGGGGAGAAAAAAGGGAAAAAAAAGGAGGAAGATTGGCAATAGATGTTAGCTCTGGGCCAGTCTTCCTCAGCAAAAAGAGGAGGATTAGCATGGATGTTAGCTCAGGGCTGCTCTTCCTCACAACAACAACGACAAAAAAAAAACCTCAATGAGATACCACTACTTACCTACTAGAATGGTCAAAATTAAAAAGACGGACTGCACCAAGTGTTGGTGAGAATGTGGAGGAACTGGAACTCTCACGCACTGTTTTTAACAATGAAAATGGTGCCTTTTGGAAAATTGGCAGTTTCTTAAGTAAAGATACAGTTACCATATGATGCAGCCATTCCAGGTGTTTACCAAGAGAAATGAAAGCATATGTCCATATAAGACTTGTATATGAATTTTCATGTTAATGTTAAGGGTAACAGCCCCAAACTGGAAATGACCCAAATGTCCATCAAGAGAATGGATAAACAATTTGTGATGTAACAATACAATGAAATAGTATTCAGCAATAAAAAGGAATGAACTATTGAAACATGCAACAACATGGATGAATCTCAATATAATTATGGCTAGTAAAAGAAGCCAGACAGAAATTAGTATACACTGCATGAGTATATTCATATGGAATTCTAGAAATGACACTTTCTAATAATCTGCAGTGACAGAAGACGAACCACTGGTTGCTTAGGAATGAGTGACAGGGAGGAGTGGACAGGATGAATTACAAAGGGTCAGGAGGAAAATTGGGGGTATGATATATATGTTCATTATCTTGAATGTGGTGACTATTACATGGGTTTACACATATTTGAAAACTTATGAAATTTGTACTTTAAATATGTGCAGTTTGTTATATGTTAATTATATCTCAATAAAGCTGTTTGTAAGACAAGTAAATTGTATATTTATATAATGGAACAGTCTTCAAAAATTAAAATTAACGATCTAGGGTGATATGTATTCATATGGACAAATCGCAAAAATATAAAGTTTTATAATGATTAGTATGGAATGAGAAGTGTTATATAAAGTTTGATAAACTACAAAAAAAACCCATGCAACGTTTAGGCATGTACACATAAACATGCTTGGGAGTGATCAATCCTGAATTCAAGAGGATGTTTTCCTCTGGAGAGGGATATGAATCAAATTAGAGAGGGACACACAAGGGCTTTAACGCTATCAATAATATTTTACTTCCTTTTGAAAAATCTGATGCTAATATGATGAAAATATTGCGATTTGGTAAAGCTGGTACTGTGTACAGGAAAGTTGATTATATTACTTTAAAAATGGTCTGTATGTTTGAAATTTATCAGTTATTAAAAAATTCACATTTGCTCAGGGATATTATCTCAAAAGGCGAAATTAGAAAGCAAACGCTACTTGGGAAAGCTGAGGGCCCAGTTTGGCTTTCTCTTGAGTTACTGCTCTGGCACATGACCAAAGATTAGTTGATCTCAAACCCCGGAATTCACAGTGACTGAGTCCCTGGAAATCTGAGGTGCTGGGCAGGGAAGGCAAGTGTGGACTTGGTGCCCAGTGCGGGTGCCCAGGGTGGTGGCTGGGCAGTCTGAGGACACTGAATCCAGGACGGGACAGTGGAGTTCTCTGACCAGCACTTGGAAGTAGGGAGCTGGAGGAAGAACCGGCAGAACCATGGGGACCACAAAAGTAAATTTCATCCACCTCGTGACTTTGCCTCCATCTGTCTCTGGTGCCAATCACAAGGCCCTTAGACCTGGTGGAAACAAACTCGCCACAAATCCTCCAACTGGGGAGGTTGCCAAGCAGGCGATATTGTTACACATTAGTACGTACTAGTGATTCCTGCTCTCAGACCATTGTCTTTGAAATAAATGGCTCGACAGCCTTTATACTTGGACAGACTGAAGAGTCTCAAGCCATGAGACTCCCTGGAAAAGAATTGTCTTGTTTCTTCAGTAGTAGGGGATAAATTTCATGTCAGCACACAAAAAGCTGATGGCAAACTCCAAATTAAGCAAATTATGCATTTTATGTTCAGACACAGATTATGGTAGAAGACTATAGCTAAAGAGAAAAAGAGTCCTTTCTCTTCACTGTTCTTATGTACTCTAAATCTGCAAAATTTAAGAGAATTAACTTGGACTAAATGTTCAGGCTTTTCTATAGCCTTATAGAAACACTGAGTACAGGCCTCATTGTCAATTCAGATACTTGTATTAATTGAGGATCAATTGTTTGGACATAACAATTTTGGGATGGGAATCCTACATATATATAAAAGCACACATATAAAATATTTAAAATTCATTTAAAGAAAAATACAGGGCTACTTTTAAAAGCATGTGTAAGGTGTAATAAACAGCAAATAAATTGATATTAATAGTCCTATGTCCCCACTAAAAGGAGATTCCAACAGACAGAATATTTCCATGATGAGTATGGAGTGAATTCCAAAAATTAGAGTGCGCAATCACACTTCCCAAAGGAAAAAAGAACAGTGCCGACTTGGAAAAATTCCCCAGCAACAATAACACGTACATGTAGAGAATCTTCTTATGGATCAGTAGCTAGTATTTCTTTTAAAAAATCACATTTTATTCATCTTGTCAGATTTTTAAAATAGTATCTAAAAAAAGTGTTTTCTAGTGAAGAAATGAGTATTTGGCTTTCTGCTCACTATCTGGTTCTGAAGTGCCATACCATATAGGATAGTGTTTCACAGAGTGTGGTTCAGATCAGGGCCCCCTGATCAGAATCATTTCAGTCGGCAAACTTTTTCTGTGAAGGGCCAGATAATAAGTATTTTAGACTTTGCCGTCCGGTCTCTGTTGCAACAGCTCACCTCTGCCCAATATTGTGGTGTGAAAGCAGCCATAGATGATTCATAAACAAATGAATGTGGCAGTGTGCCAATAAAAGTTGATTTCCACAAACATGTTGTGTGCTGGGTATCACCATAGGCCATAGTTTGTCAGCACCTAACTTAGAGCAGTGTTTTTCTTTTTTTCTTTATTTTTTTACTGAAACCTGCAGTAGGAAATACACATGACATCAAATCCAACACAGACACACAGACACAGACACACACACCGTTTTACAAAACCTAGCTTGCCCTTTCTACGAGGAATGCACTCTGCTACTTTCTTTTCTCCTTTCCTCTTCTCTTCTATTTAGTTTTTTAAATGCTAGTCCTGACCACACTAATGATTCATCACCTGCAGACCAGAAAACATTGCTTGTTAAAATGCAGATTCCTCCTGCTCTGCCAATTATAACTCCTTACCAAGGAGATTGGAGAGTAGGCCCAAACATCTACAGTTTTTCTTTAAAAAAGATCCCCAGCTGATTCTTGTGCACATAAGGTTTGAAAAGCTCCAGTCCAGTGTATCAGATGGAACTGTACACTAAACTAAAATTAAAATTATACCAACAATTGTTTTCCGTAAAGCATTCCTGTATTTTCAAATGAGGCTCTCATTTTGGCTTGCTTTAATTTATGCATGATTTAGGGCTTTTTTTGTTTTCCTTTTCCTCTTACGTCACTTTTAATTTCCAGTATCATGATGGAAGAAAAGAAGGGAGAAAATAGAGTTCAAGCATTGTTACATTTGTAATTGTGCAGTCACTAACAGGCATACTGAAAGGATAGGTGATTGACATGAAGTTATTCTAAAGGAATATTTTGACCTTATTTTTCTTTTGCTAGAATTATATTGAACATCTTCAATTCTGCCATGTAATTTAAAGCATTCTTTATGTTGTGCGATTAAATGTTCCATTCACTTGGTTTGTTCTAGGGACTCTGTTATTTTTTCTTCCTCTGACAATTTCCTATGGATGCGTTCTGATATCTTTAAGTGGACTCTATGCCTTTCTTAGCTTTATCTCTGGATACAATAGGTGTTAGAAGCTGAATTCTATTTTCTATAAAATAAGTGTTATTTTATTCACCTAATGAACACAGTTAATCTGCTGTGGATGGTCACTATAATTATAATGAGTTAAGTCTTTTACCAGGCTTAAGATCACTACTGTTTGCCCCAAAGTTTTGATACTTCATTCTCTAACTCTTTACTTCCAGGAATTTTTCTCACTCTTGCCTGAAATCTTATGGCTGCTGCTTCTCAATTCAGCATGAATTTCCTTTGTTTGCTGTAGTACGACATAGCTGGAATTAGACGTTCCTCAGAGGCCTCAAGTTCTGACATCTCCTTCCTTCCTTTTCTTCGATTAGAGTTGCATGGGGATGATAATGATGACTTGGAAAAAGAAGGAATTTCTTGGAGTTAGCAGGAATTCTGGAGGGAGCCTGAGCCAGCCTTGTCTGTAAGACAGATTAACTGGTCTCCTCCCTACACTTTCACCCAGGGCTGTTTTCCATTCCGGAATGAACGTAAAGCCAGCCAAGACCTGTCCCAGGCCGTGTGGATGGGGGCACTAGGCGTACGGCAATTCCAATTAGCAGTCTAATTTTAACTTGGCTTCTGGCCAGAGGGCTTCATCTCACAGCACATTTCAGACACCAGAGCTAACGGTCAAGTGGGTTACCGTCGACTTATCTTGGCCTGCCCCAGAGGTTATGGTCAATTACGTTTGAGGGTCATTTTCAAGCAAGACGGAATCAGGAATTGGAATGGAGGTTGGAACCAAACATGTGTTTTTATCCCGACTGGGAAATGCTTATCAAAATAGTTCTTGGTTATCAAGTAAGCACAAAGTGCCTGGAAATGACGTTCCCAGTGAGGGGAAATGGCCCAGCTGTGCTTTTTTTGGCTTTCTCTCATCTGCTCAACAGGAAAAATATTAATCAATGGAAAAAATGCTCCCTTTCTGTTAATTTAACACAAGAGTTTTAGATAGTGTGGGAAATAGTAATACTTAATGTTTTTACATCACAATTTTATTACATGGATTGCAAAGAACTTTTTAGAAAATGGTTTTTACTTAAGCCACACATTCGCACCTATAGAAATGTTTTATTTTCTTGATGGCCCAGCTGAAAAACTAAGCAAGTTCCAGGGTTCCCTAGGATCTTAACAGTAATTGTGTGGAATAGTTGAGACAAGAGGTCTAGTGACCCTCTAACTTACCACTGGGCAACACCTTTTTTCCCCATCAACAGGGAAGCAATTCGCAATTCAGTGTTTCCTCATAAAACAAATTAGCAACACTTCTCCAAGGAGATAAAGAATATCAAAGACAAGAGTCCCATAACTGGGATTTCCATATTTCTATGCCTACATTTTGAACTTTTATCGAAGGACGACTTACATACAACAAAATGCACACACATTAGAAGGGCCCAGCCCGATGCATTTTCACGAAGTGAGCCCACCCGTGTAACCATCTCCGTGCCTCTTTTGTTCAAGGTGATGAGGCTTCGCAAACTGGCTCAGCAGATTGCAAACTGCAAACAGTGCATTGAGCGGTCGGCATCACTCATCTCCCAAGCGGAACACTCTCTGAAGGAGAATGATCATGCGCGTTTCCTACAGACCGCGAAGAATATCACCGAGAGGTGAGTGCAGAGGCTGCTGGGAAGTTCTCAGCGGCGGGGCTCCGGTGTCTGGGGTGTGATTGGTTGGCCTTGCCCTGTCTTGCTTTTGTTTTCATTTTCAAGGCTGAGTACCAGAGAGAATAGAGGCTTTGAGTTGCCTTGTTCCAGCTGAAGATGCTTCCCTTTGACATGTCAAAGCCTTTTCAGCAGCAGCCTGGAGTTCAAGGCCTTTGAAACAAGTCCACCAGTTAGGAAGAATAAAATCAGCCTGCTTTTGGGGGGACGGGGAAGCTTATGATAGCACAAAAACAGCATTTATTGTGACTCTCAGACCTGATCTTATCGTACACTTGATAACAAAGAATCAAAATGAAGGCAAAAACATAAAAGGGAATCTTTTCTTCCATCTCAGGGCCCATCTATTAAAAAAAAAATTGCCCAAGTGTTGTTCTCTGTTAGGCCTGTTTTTATTTGGTTGAGAAGCTTTGCCTCTCCTGAAAGGTCAAGGCTGACTCCTGTGGGAGAGAAAGGACCAAACTGTCAACCTTGTACCTCCTTCTTTTAAAATATCCTTTATTGCAGGGTAGGGAACATAAAAATGACATTATTTGAATGGTCAGCTCAGCAGTAAAACTGACGGGGGGGCGGGGTCAGTGCTCCTTCAGTACACATGCTTGATTGGCATAAAATTACCTCCCTTCACTGATGCAGACCCCTATAGCAATTCTAGTGGAGCCCAAGAAAAGCACTTAACACCACTTAAATGACATCTTCAACCAACGCCGATGGCCTTGACTTTTCGTTCATTCTAATTTTCAGAGTCACCTGCCCCTTATCCAAAGCACTAATAGAATCTTCTCACTAGAAGTCCCCAGACAGCTCATTCATGCTGGTCTCTATCCTAGAGCAGGAGTCTGCAGACTTTTCCTATAAAGGACCGGAGAGTAAATATTTTCAGCTTTGCAGGCTATAAGGTCTCCATCACAACTACTCAACTCTGCCATGACAGCTCTACAGCAGCCTATCATAGATGGTATGGAAACGAATGGGCGTGGCTGTGTTCAGATAAAACCATTTACAAAAACAGGCGGCAGGCCAGATTTGGCCCTCGGGCTGTACTTTCCCAACCCCTGGCCTAGGAAAAAAATTATTCACCATCTTACCACTTGAATTTCTTCAAGGAAGAAGAAAGAAAACTAACATTTATTGAGTGCTTGCTTGTGTTGGACACTGTGCTAATTCTCAAACTATCACACAGAAGTAGGCATTGATATTTCCGTCTTCACTGCTCTTTCAATGAGAGTAGTGTATAGTGTTTTTACAACTGTGGTCTGGTATCTAACCAGCTTCATTGTGTTATTTCTTATATTTGAGAAAATTTCCTTCTGCAGCTGGTTAGATACTTAATCTCTTCCAAAGCGCGTGGATAAACAGCTGCTTATCATCCCTTTTACATCCTTGAAATGATCTCCTCCCTACTCTAAGAAAAGGCAGTTTCTTTCCTCATGACTCCTAGGTTCCAAGTATTAAAATTTCTTCGCTGCTCTCATCTGGACTGTATTCAGTTGCTTTATATTCATCTTAAAATTAAAAACTACAAACAGCACTAATAGTCCAGTGTACCCACGACAATCTACTAGACGACATTGACACTTATGTCGTGGTTTCGAACTGGAATCCAAGAGTACTTTTCTCCAGCTATAAATCGTGAGATGTCCAGATGAAATGGCTACTATGAGCTGCATTTCTCAGCATCCCTAAAAATTCGATCAAGTATAATATGAATAAATTCTCACATAGCGAGAGGAGAGAATGTGGCCCTATAAGAGTTAAGAGAGAACATTCTGAAAGAAAACCTGCATTCAAAGTATAACACAAGCACATGAATGCCTACATGTGATCTCCCTCAGATCCAGCAGGTCATATGTGATCCCATTCAGCTCTACCTGTAATAAGCCCATCTCATCAAGAATGGAAACATGACCTTGATTTCTCTTTCTACAAATGCATTGTACAATATAGCATACTCTCAAGCCTCACTAATGTATAGTTCTTGGTGCGATTGTATGTGCACTCTTATAAAATTTTATTAAATAAAACTCTCCATTAAATCCAGGCATAAGAAAGTTGGCCTACTGCTTCTGAGAAGTCTAAACTTCCATCAAGGTTGAATACATAGTGCCAGTACAAATTTGCTAGGAGCCTTTGTCCCTCTGTTTGTGCATCCCCTCTCTTTCCGTCTCTATTTGTCAGTCCTCTTGGTTGATTCCTGAGCCTTTCTCTCTTGCCAGCAACTGGAATGTAGTAAAAGGGCACTGGGCTTGGACTAGGAGTTGGGAAACCTGGGTTCAAATCCCAGCACTGCCACCTGTTAACTGTGATTCTTTTGTTTATCCATGAGCTATTTTCTACTTATAAAATTGGGGTCATAATAGCTACCTCTATCGGTAGTTGTGATGACATTGCTAATGACTCCTAAGAACAGGCTTTGAGCATCATAGATACTCCGTAATGTTTGTTGGATTTATATTTTCATGTTTTAGAATGTTAGTATGACCCCCTCCTTGTATGTCTTTATTCCAATGCTGGTCTCTGTCTACTTGTCTCCATTCTTCAACCCTTTACTTAACGTTCTTCTGTAGGATGTGACTTCATAGTTCCCTGCCTCCCATTGTGTTTCCCTTGGGCTTTGGTGCCTGTATACTTCTAAACCATCTTTATTCTTCTATTCAAGGGTAGAAAGCCCAGAGCAAACTTAATCCTCAGGCCTTCCTAAAGTGAGACTTGGATGTGATTTTTCTGCATCATTAAATGACTTAAAATGGATATGTTTGCCTACAAGCTGAATCAAACTGCGAAAAGTTTTTCAATTAAGAAACATCAAAAAACCCCAAAAGGAGAGAGAGCCTCAAGCTTTACATTGTAGGAGATGCACATGCTTTGGAATCAAGTGTTTGGCTCTGTGCTAATTGCTTAGTAGTAATTATGGATAGCATTGGGGCTGCTCCTTAAGACTTGTGAGTCTAATCTTGCTCAGATGCTCCCAGCGGACAGGACCCCCAGCCATGTTGTTTTCACCATTATCGCCCCAGCACATAGCAAACAGCCTGACACGAATGAATGAGTGAACAAATCTATGAAATAGGGCCAATTATTCCTACCTCATATGGTTGTTGTAGGGATAAAATGAAATAATGTAGTAAAAATGTCAGCCCAGTTCTTGTCACAAGGTGAACAGGCAGCAAATGCTAATTCCCTTCCTTCCCACTCCCTAAATGGACTCAAATGGATCGTATAACATACTCTACTCTCAAGCCACTCTAATATACAGGTCTTTGGTATGATTGTATATGCATCCTTATAAAATGATGTTAAGTAAGCAAAACTCTTCACTAAATCCAAGCATAAGAAAGTTGGTCTATTGCTTATGAGAAATCTAAAATTAAAATTACTTTTAGCAGTAAGTTATCTGTATCAAGAGGACAGTAAAAAGAAAATTCCCTCTGAACAGTAGCCATTTTTCAGAGCTCCTAGGAGAGTCTCAGACTCCACAAGGTGACCCCTCTGTCCCTCACCACCATAGGCAGTTAAAGGATCCATCAGACTTTCCCAGAATACAAAGCCAAGAACTCCAGTTGTCGACTCTGGAATGGAAAGATGTTGCTTGGTTCTAAGAAGTAGGTCACATCTGATGAGTAGTTTTTGAAGTGTGTTCTGCAGGATGTCAGTTGGTGTTAAAACAACAACAAGGTTCCAGAGCCAAATGCATTTGGGAAATCCTGAGCTGATCAAAGTAAATCACATTTTGTTACTGTGAGACCTCACGGGCTTTACCATGTGGTGTGCATTGTCGTCCACGCACCCCAGAGAGACCCATTTAAGTGCCGGGGATGGGGCAGAGGGGGTGGTATTAGGCAGGAAGAGTGGAACTTCTTTCCCTGGTGTTGACATTTGGCAGAAACTCTGTGAGCACTGTAGCTCTAGACATGTCCGCCTTCTGGAAAACTGATCCATGTGGCTGCTAGCAACTGAGTGTCATGGAGATTAGGGGTGTCAACGTCTAAATAGAAACAGGAAGTAATGTGCAGCCCATCCTCTGAAGCATCAAGATAGGACACAATGCTCTTATTTCCCCAATATGTTAACAGATTAACACACACACCCATAAGCATGCCCACACATGTGCACGTACACACACACACACAGACGTGACTGTGAAAGCACAGAATTGAGAAGGTGGCATATCCACTGATGGTGCTGGTGGGTTTTGGCAATTTATCTGAAAGGCCGGAAGATGGGCAACAAGGATTTGAGGAGTAAAAACATGGCCTAAAATGTTGAATTTGGCAACTCTCCCCTCGCCTGTCACTCCAATTAAGAATTTGAAATTGTAGCCAAAGATAAATATCTTTCCTTCCATGAAATAAATGTGTAGGTGTTAAAAGCTGCACTAATCTCCAAAGATTCTTGCTGTCAGTCTTTGCCTCCCAGGCTTAGGAACTTTCATCCTTTCCGTTCCCACTCCACAAAGTTCCCACCATCAAGAAGGCAGGCGTTTCTAAGTGTCACTTGACTAAAGCATGTTGCAGTTAATGGTTTGTGAATCATAGAGTCAGGAGAAACTTGGGAATGAAATCTGTTTTGGATGAACCTGGACAGAGGCTTCTGCCACTGGACGGGGGAGGTGCTCAAGTGAGATTATCTGTTCAGAGCAATCAAGATCCTCCAACCTGTTAAGCACAAGGTCTGTGCCACGCTTGAACGGCAGAGAAATGCAATAGAAAGGTAGGCGCTTGTTTCATAATAGCTCAGTGCAGTTCTCCCTGCTGATCATCATGAAACACAATTCACTGGAGTTTCCCTTTGAAATTTTTATTTGAGGAGTTCAAATGGCACTATGGCATTTTTTTTTAACTTTTCTGTGTTGATGCAAATATTTTGGGCTCTTTAGTACATGACATACTTTAAGGGCTTAGTAACTATTTGTTGAATAATCCTAGGATCTCTCTGGGTTTTAAGGAGTTTTTGTGATTACGGGTCATAAGGAAAGCATTTTTTAAGTACAGTTTGACCATCTGTGAAAAATGCCTAGCAACCAAACCATCCCTTTATCCATCAGTCTGAATTAGCAGGTGTTAGTCACAATAATTAACCCAATTCCCTTGGGTGAAATATTTAGCCAAGAAAATCACACAACTCTGCTATTCACTGCTTCTTGGTGAAAGGGTCAGGTGGTGAATTTAGATTCTCCACTCTCGTTCAAACACTTGAAACTTTTCTTTCTAGAGTTTATACCTCTTCAAACTTTCATCTATGGATCTTAGTGTCATTCCAATTATTACATTGTTAATTATCCTACTTCCCTCCCTATACGGCACTGAAAATGCTCCAGAAATGCAATTATAGAAACTTCATTTCTAAGGATTTTGAGCATTTCACAGGTGTAACTTCTTTTATTGAGGTGAAATTCACATAACATAAAATTAACGATTTTAATGTGGACAATTCAGTGGCATTTAGTACATTCACAGTATTGTACAATTACTACCTCTATCAAATTTCAAAATATTTTCATCACCCCAAAAGAATACGTATTATGCAGTCACTCTCCATTGCCACCTCTTGCCAGTTCCTGGCAACCACTAATCTGCTTTCTGTCCTGTGGGTTTGCTTATTGTGGACATTTGTATAAATGGATCACACACTATGTGGCCTTTTGTATCTGTCTTCTTTCACTCAGCATAATGCTTTCAAGGTTCATCCATGTTGTAGCCTGTGTCAGTACTTCATTCTTTTTCATGGCTGAATAATATTCCATTGTATGGGTATACCCACAGGTGTAATTTTTATAGCCAAGATATATTATCTTTATAAAATCCAAAGCTTTAAGAGCCACTAAGAGATGCAAGAGGAGATATATCTCTTTGGGTAACCAGGTTGAAATTTTTCTATATTAAATGCAAAAATACAGACCTGGAATTCTCCCTCTGGCTTCTCCCAGCTAGCTTTGTGGCCTTGTATAAATAAGCACCAATGCCCTTAATTAGAAAATAAGTAACTAGATTTAGAGCTAAATTATTTCAAAATTATTTCTTTGCTCAAAAATTCCCAGTGCCCTACATAGTACTCTACACATGGTATAGGTCCGTGGTGGTGGTTACCGAACTTAACGAAATACAAAAATCAACAAGATTACAAGTGGAGCATAGTTTGATATGCTCAGAAGTGGTTTACATTGTGCCACAATTTCCTTGTTTTTAAGAGAATCACTTGCATTTTTTAATTAGTCAAAATGTTCTGCTATTAATAATTGAACTTTCCAAATCAACTTGAGAGTCCATAGCTGGAGACTGATACTTACCAGTACCTTGCTTTATAGTTTATAAATGAGAACTCTTAACTAGCAATGCTAAATGAAGAGGAGAAATGGTGCATCCATTGGGGGAATTTGTGAGAAGTCTCATGAATATTTTCCATGGCATTGGCTGGGAATATGGTGCAAGAAAACGAATGCAAGAATGAAAACGAGCCAGACAAAAACTCCTTTTTAAATGTTTATTTTAGAGAGGGGCTAGTAATTGATTAAACTAATCCAATATCTGGAAACATTCTTTTTTAATCTTCACTTTGCCTTTTATGCAGTTTGAAATTTTGGAGACTCCTCTTTGAAGTGGGGCAGGGTCGAGTCTGAAAGGAACAAACAGTTTCCCAGACAGATGTGTGAAGAAGTGCCTGGAGCTATGTGCTTCTCGCTGGGGTTAGATGTGACGGGGCCAGGCTGTTAAATACACAGCAACATGAAATATGAATATCCTTTCGCCTCCATGGGGGATTTTTTTCCGATAGTAAAAAGAAGGGGGGAGAAACCATTCTGCTGTTTTCTCAGTTCCTTTGCCTTTTCTGTAAGCTTGCATTCATTTGCATTGTGTGGCTGTGTTGTGCCATTCTGAGATTCTTTTCAAGGCTCACGTATAAAAACAGCACCATTTTTTAATGATATTTCTTTTCGTTTCATTTTTTTCATTCCTATACGGTGATGATGAAAGCCACCTTGACATTTCTAAAATGTTGTTTTGTTTAAATTACAGAGTCTCCATGGCAACTGCATCGTCCCAGGTCCTAATTCCTGAAATCAACCTCAATGACACATTTGACACCTTTGCCTTAGATTTTTCCCGAGAGAAGAAATTGCTAGAATGTCTGGATTACCTTACAGGTATTGTCTTTTGTATTTTCTTTAATATTCTGTACGTTCAGTGATACAAATACTTTGCCACCAGATCAATTTCCTAAAAACAAGAGGTGTGGCCTTCTGATTTAGGAATGGAGTTTAATATTCCCATAAGCAATTTCTGACACTCCTTTTTTTTCCCCAACCAAAACAACACAGTCTAAGACTAAATTGGGGACAGAGGAAAAAAGAGAATCTCAGTCATTAAAAGCATACTTACCATCATTTCCCTCACTCTCAGAGTGTGGGTACCACAAATAGTAGCTCTGTTGGCCATCAAAGAGAAAAATAAGGTAGCGTGACTATTTTTCACTTGATGTCAGTAAGGCATCTGAGTCTCACAGTTCCTTGGCAGAGAAAAAATTGGCAGCTAGCTTTGATTGGGTGTCTACCTTGCTCTAGCTCTTTGTATCTTGCGACCTTGTTTAATCTTCACAATACTGAATTGAGGTCAAGTATTATAATCCTCATTTTGCAAATGACGAAGGTCATCTCTCTTGCTGGAGGTCAGATAGCTGGGGAATGGCAGAATTAGGATTTGGCTTGGGTCCGTAGAGACTCCAAAGACCTCTGCTCTTTCTAGTAAAAGAATGAATTTCATCTTGGCGAAGGTCACCATGGCAAACATCCCAAAAATCACATTTGAATTCCTGGTGCCATGTTTCAGTGCTTTGCTTTCTGATAGGCATTTTTGGGGAATCAAGCTTAAAGAACAAAAGCAACAACCATAAAAGAGAACCTCAGGCTCCTCCTATTTCTAACCATGCTTCCACGTTTTTCTTTGCTGTCAACCTCTAACGTGGGAACTGAAAACATTTGCTGGTAGAATGTGGACTGTTTAGATGACCTTATTTGTATTAACCAAAGTCACTGGTGCCTATGACTTCAGGAAGACTCCATATATACAGTGAAGCCAGATGTGCACTAAACTTAGGGCATGCTGCCTTCAAGAGACCACATCCCTAACTTAGCGTGGCGTCAGCTTCTCAACTCTAATTCTGTGTGTGCCTGTTTGTGGGAGAGTGGTTGGGAAAGGTGGAGCCAGAGAGAGGGAACCTTCTGTGGTGTTTGTTTTTACAGTCTGTGGATAGAAAGCAAGGAGTTCTATATTCAAGGAGCATTGTACCCAGAAGACGGGTTTTTTCTTTGCAAGGACCCGAGGTGCTGTTTTCAGCCTTTCTGCATTTGCAAGGGAAGCGAGTCATCCCACAAACTTCTTATCTTATGTAATTCTTTCAAACCATACCACTCCTATTAAGGAAGAAAGAAATTGACGCAAAAAGCATTTCCACTCCTATTAAGGAAGAAAGAAATTGACGCAAAAAGCATTTACAGTAAGGAACCAGACTTGGTTTCAAATATTTATGAGTATACTGCCCTCCTTTTTTAAGCTTTTAACTCTGAGATTTATCTAAACTAACACTATTCAACAGAAATTTCTATGATAATAGAAACATTCTATATCTGCATTGTCCGCTATGGTAGCTGCTAGCCACGTGGGGCTATTGAAAACTTGAAATGTGGCTAGTGAGTTTTTACTTGTATTTAACTTCAATTAAAGTTCATTGAAATTTCAAGAGCCACGTGCAGCTCGTGGCTATTGTATTAGACAGTGCAGGCCTAGACTTTCTCTGGCTGAGCTGTTTTTCACAATGGCATCCTATTAAAAATCTCCCTTTTTCTTATATCATTTGGGAATGAGTATGGTTGCAACAACAGAAAATCCAATTAACAGTGACTAAACCCATCAAGGAGTGTTCATATCACAGAAATAGGAGAACAGAGGTATGTGATCCAGGGCTGGGCAGCAGTACAGTGATGACCTCAGACCCCAGGCTCTTCTTCTTTTTCTGCTCTGCCAGCTTCATTATGTTGCCTTTTTGCCACCTGATCACAACATGACTATTCCACCTCCAAGCATGTTCAAATTATACACAAAAAGAGAAAGGAAGTGGGGAATTGATGACCAAAAACTCTGTCAGACAAGTTTGTCTTTGTTTATCAGGAAAACAAAAAGCTTGCTCAGAAGACCCATCTAGAAAACTTCCACTGTGTCTTGTGGGCCAGACCCATGTCACAAGGTCATGCGCAAGGGCAGAGAAGACTGAAAAAATGTTTGGGTGGACACATGGCCATTCTGCACAAAATCACTGTCTTGTTGACAAGAATGTGTCCTCTCCATTTCCCAATAATTGTTTAATGGTATTTTGACAATGTATGCCCTTTCTAATCTCTATGTGAATGCCAAAGTACTGGTTAAAGGGGAAATTGTCAACGTAGTTTGTCCTGACTAGCAACATGTACACCATATATCATCCTGATGGCTGTTTATGCCAAACTAAAGACCATATGGGGTACCTGCTATTATGCCTTCTTAGCTGTCAACCTCAAATACAAATTTGGCCCATTTCTAGACATAACATCAATCCTGGCCATAACATACGATGCTTGGCTGATATTGCCAAATCCAAATAGTTTATCACACATTTGTAAGCAGGAAATGAAGTGTTTGTAGAGTATTAGCCCACCATTTCTTGTGTCCTGTTTATGATAGAGGCAAGAAAATAACAGTTCTGGTACTGATTCCATGAATATTGAAATTGGCAACACGCTGCTGTTCTCATTTACAGTAAATTGGGTATTGACTTTTCAGGACAAACCCATTGGGTTTATAATCAAAACAGGGTTAGCCTGCCTGGCTGTGAAAACAAGATTTTTTTTCCCCTATGACATGCCTCTAAGTGGTATGTCAAGTTAATAACCCGGAGAGGGGACATTTCCTCCCTGATTACAGCTACCGCCATGTGTCTCACAGCTACTTGCCTATTTTGAACATAGCTTTCTTTATAATGAATCATATATTGCAATACAGAAAGAACAAAATCTTTCTACAATGGTTGATGGAGAAATAATTCAAGGAACTATTTAGATTATGGGAGAATAAGTATTTCTCCACTGATCCATGCAGGGTGGTCCACACAAACCGGGACCACACAGACAATAATAAGCATGTTTTAGGATGCAGCTGGGCCTACCCCATGGAATGTATCTCCTGATTGGTGTCACTGATTCATGCACATCCAAGTCACAGCACCATGACACTAAACCTTGCATGTGGATACTTCAGGAGATGGATGTATAAATACATATTCCAGAAAGACTGCTTTAAGGGCTCTGTAGAGCCCTTCTATCTTAATGCACAATTGAATGAAGTGCCTGCCACGTGTGGGTGCTCAATAATGTTTGTGGAATTCAATAACCAATAGACAAAGGTGAGTTAATTGACTTTATACAGCAAACGTAACAGTTACTTGCTTCATAAGATACTTGTTCTGGATATATCTTCAGGTGGCAAAGTGAAGAATACTAAAACAACCAGAGTTTTAAATTTACCATTTTCATAAACTTTTCTCCCTCTTTGGGTTTGTTTAGGACTCATCAATCCTAATCAAAGTTTACAGCAGGAGAGAACTCTGCAATAGTGTAAGCAAAGGTTACTACTAATCTGTAGATTGCAGATATATTTCTCCTTTTGAAGTTAGGTTCTGGCTTACAGAAGACTGGAAATAAAGGCCTGGATAGATTGTCTAAACCAAGGGTCAGCAAACTTTGACTGTAAAGGGCCAGATGGTAAATATTTTAGGCTTTGCAGGACATATGGTCGCAACTATTCAACTCTGCTATTACACAAAAGCAGCCATAGACAATACATAAATGAATGAGCCTGGCTGTGTTCCAATAAAACTTTATTTACAAAAACAGGCAGTGGGCCAGATTTGGCCCATAGCCATAGTTTGCCAACCCCTGCTCTAAAATATTATTGCCAGTGCAAAGCACTCACTGCCTAGTCTTTTTCTTGCTCGCAAACTCTTCTCATAAAACCAGTTACTGAAATCAACTTAAAATAAGTATTTTGGTAGAATTTAGACTTCTCTGCTCCAGAATGTGTTCAAGACATAAAACAGCAGCCTTCTCCAGCGATAAAGTTAACCAAATGCCAAGGAATCGTGTTTTCCTTATGGAAGGAAAGTGTACTTCTTACCTATTGACTGATTGTTAATCATGTTCTTAATTTGAAGTATCACCTATAAATTTAAAAATGAGAAGAAAATAAGGCCACACTAATAGGTTTTTTTATAAGGCATCAAAACATCTAATGAAAGAAAATTTTCAAACAATTATTTGACTGATTCATGATAGGATAACAAGCAACAGTTTTTCCAATTGGGTGCCTAAATGTAAAAATATGTGGCATTGTGTAGCTCAGAGGCTGGCAAACTTGGGCTCACAGGCCAAATCTAGCCCTCACCTGTTTTTGTAAATGAAGTTTTATGGAACCTGGCCATGTTCATTTGAGTATGAATTGTCTATGGCTGCTTTCATGGTGCAAAGGCAGAGCTGAGTGGTTGCAACAGAGACTATATGGCCCGCAAAGCCTAAAATATTTACCATCTAGCCCTTTAACACAAAGTTTGCCACCCCCTTCCCCCCAGTGTGGATGATATTATAGAAGTTCATCTTGTTTACTTTTTGTTTAACATGTTTTCTTTCATGGATAAGAGACTGTTGTTTGCTTAACCTCTTAAGCTTGCGTTCATGATAAGTAGAGATAAGTCCATACTGGCTGGCTGAAGTCACACTACCTGTTAAAAATCACAATGATAACCAGCCAACCAAGTGTTGTTTGGATTGGGGTCACCATGTCTAGGATAGTAGTCCTGATGGACCTATTTAGAAAGGCCTCCTTTGACTGTCAAACGTCTCCTCTGAAATGTATCCCAGACGTGTCTGCTTCTCAGGTGATGAGCATTCTTGATCCCCACAGCTCCCAACCCTCCCACAATTAGAGAAGAGCTCTGCACAGCTTCCTATGACACCATCACCGTTCACTGGACCTCCGATGATGAATTCAGTGTGGTTTCCTACGAGCTCCAGTACACCATATTCACTGGCCAAGCCAACGTTGTTAGTGAGTATCATATGCCCTATTGATTTCTCTGTTTGGTGGCTATTTTCAGATAGATTGCATTTCCAAATTTAAAGACCTAGGGAAGATAAGGAAAGAAAGAATACACAATATTTATTGGCTTGTCCTTCTTAATCAAGAAGATGATAGCACTCACTTGTACTATACTAGTAAAAATAACTGGCCAAATAGCGATGAAAATTAATGATCTCTAGCAAACCATATGGATGAATCTTACAAACATATTGTTAAGAGACAGAAGCAGAAAACAAAAGAATATATGCAGTATGAGTCCATTTATACATTCATAACTTAAAGATAAAAATAAACTATTTTGTTTAGAGTTACATATGTAGGTGTAAAAACTATAAATAAAAGTCAGGATGATGGTTACCTCCAGGACAGTAGGGTAGTGGCACTTTGGGGAAGAAATATAAAGGGGTTCATGGGGTTAACAGCACTTTCTAGGTGGGAGTTACATGGCTTAGTCATTATATCATACATTTAGTTTTATTTGCTTTTCTGAGTCTTATTTCACAATTTTTTAAAAAAGATTTAATAAAATGAATAGCCAAAGAACGCCGAATACCTAGTTCCATTTGGAGGAGAGCAGGGCCATCATTTGAACTGTTAGTAATTGGCCCCCACCTGGGAAGAAGTTCAGACCTTACCTGAAACAGAGAGGCTCCTCTCTCACTGGGGCCCGTGAAATATTTGGTATCGGAGACAATTTGATGATCTCAGAGAGCAGCAGTAGCTGGCCAGACAGATGATAACACAGGAAGCACTCCTCCCCACCACACAGAGTTATTTAAATTGAGTTGAGTAAATGGCAAAGGACCAGAAGAAATGGCTTCTCAGGGGAGCAAGTTTGAAATTTAACTTTAGCAAATAAAAATAGAATATGTCAAAGTAAAATAGAATAGAATAGAATAGCAGTCACTTTTCAACAAAGAAATGTTTTGAATAAATCCATATCGACTTAATGTGCTTTTATTATATAAACCTTTTCTCTCTTAACTACACTGTTCTTTCCTAGAACAAATAATTCTGAGGCATGTGATGCTTAAAATAGAAATTTGATTTAGGGTTAATTAAGAGTGATGCAGAAAGACCCCTGCTTCTAAGTGACTAAAGTTTCCATGACCCATACCAACCAATGGTGCCTTCCTTACATCGCCTTTCCCCAGCATCCCCTCCTCAACCCTCTGACCTTCCACTCCCTAACTGGCCTGCCTTGGACACTTTTATTAAAATCTTACCATTTTCCAAGGATATGTAATTTTAGATTGAAAGGGAGAAAATGAACGTTGAGAACAGCTTTGGCAAGCTCCCTGAGTAGGTAGGAACTATAGAGAGGGCAGAAATAGTGGGTGCAACAGAAAGGTCTTGGGGGAAGTGATCCTAAACTAAGTCTTGAAAGAAAGTGGGTACATATCGTCAAGTTAAGGGGATCCCAGACAGCTGTGTCATTCCAAGAAAACCTACAGAAACATAAAAAGGTAGGGCATATTGGGAGATCTCATCTAATTAAGCCTGGCTGGAGAGTTGAGTGAGGGAGGGGAGACTGAGAAATGAAGATAGAGAAATAGAACTAGGACTCAAACCCGTAAAGTTCTGGTTCCAGAAAGTACATGTTCTTAATCATCAGTCACTTCATCCTAATTCACAGTAAAGAGCTAGACCACAGAGGGCCCCCCAGGCCACACCATGTTTGGATTTTACCCTGTGGTCTGGAGAGACATACAGAACAGTAGTGTGATCAGGTGTACAATTAGAAGCCAACTCAGGCAGCACTGTGGAGGATGGAGTGGAACAGGGCAAGACTAGAAGCAGAGACGTGGACTCAGAGATTCATAGTAATTCACAGAGGCAGGGATAACCAAGACCTGCAAATGGCACTAGCAGTGGAGCAGGAAAGAAGATAATTCCAGAAAGACTTCTCTACCTCTGGCCATCTCCCCAGATATTTGAAGTGCTTTTGGGGGCAAGTCTGAGAAGCACTATTACAGCAATGGTTAGGCATCATTTCACTCTTCTTCCAGGATTTTGGATTCTTCTGGTATCATTCCTCATCCCCAGTTCTACATGTTCTGCTACAAATCATGAAGCAATACTAATTCTCTGAAACCTTTTTTTAGAAGTAATGCAGAAACATTGTATAATAATATATAAAATGTATATAGTGAAGATTGGATGTTTTGCCATATACCAGCCACCCAGATTCCAGAGTTACACTGCACCAATTCCATTTCTCCTGCATCTTTCCTGGGATAGTCTGTTTATAGACAAGGGCACACATACACTCACACACACACACACACCCCCATATGCATTTTTTAGGGGCACAAAAGGTAACATGCCACACATAGTTCTTCATTTTGCTTTTTTCACTAAATATTGTATCTGAGAGACTATTCTGTTTCAGCACAAATAAAGAACTGCTTCATTCTTTTTTGAGGCAGCCTACTATCCTGTTGTAAGGATGTACCTTAATTGATTTATCTCGTCTTCTGTTGATGTATATTTAGTTGGTTTCCAGTCTTTTGCCCTTATAAACAATGCCTCAATGAATATCCTTGAATATCTGTCCTTTCATACACAGGAAATTATATCTATAAAATAAGCTCTTAAGATGGAATTGCTAGGGCAAAGATTATTTGCCTTTTAATTTTGGTTGACGTTGACAAATTACCCTTCAGAGAGGTGACATATGATTTTTCAAATGCATTTTTCCATCTATATGAGCTTATATTTCACTGATTTAGGATATGTATACCATAAACTTAACATGGAATTAAAGTCTAGTAAGATTTTCAAACCTTGATTATGCTTCACTATAAACCTGAAGTACAAATCACTCTATAATCACTAAGGTCATACTTAATAGTCACTCCTTCATTTAAAGCAATGATTCTCAAACAGGGGTAATTTTGCCCCCCAGGGAACATTTGGCAATGTCTGGAGACATTTTTGGTTCTCAAAACCCGGGCGAAGAGGTGCTACTGGCATCTAGTAGGTAGAGGCCAGGGATGATGGGAAATATCCCACAGTGCACAGGAACATCCCCACACACACACACAATGAAGAATTATCTGGCCCAAAATGTCAGTAGTGCTGAGATCGAAACACCCCAATTTAAAGCAAGGTAAACAAATAGCATCTAATGATCACATTCTAAATACCGAGACTATAACTGAACACACTAACCTACACACTGCTATGCTGTATGGCATGGAAGGGAAAACACAGCAAAAAGAAGCAAGTATAATTAATTTCTTTCTGTCTTCACTTAAGGAATTACTTCCTCAGTGTCCTGGGATGAATATTACTAGTATATTGGGTAAACTGAACTAGAGATTGTATCAAACATTCACTTAAAGACGAAATTCAAAAGATGGTCAGAAATTCCAAGGCAATCAGAGAAAAGGAGAGGATGAGAGTTTGAGAAGAGCAGGTAGAAATAAAGGCATGATTTACTGCCAAAAATGAACTTGGATCAATAAGCATTGTGTCAGACTCAAAAAACAGACAAGGTTCTCTGAAGACACACAGAGGACTGATAGAATCAATGTCTGTTGATGAGTGAATAATGTAACCAGAAAAAGGAAACATTTGGAGTCATTTTACACCTAAAGGATGCTTCTTGGCCCACATGAGGAATGTTATATTTCTCTGAAATTATTTTTGCTTGATCCAGGAAAAAAATATATCAGTTTTCTATACCTGGGTAAGAAATTTTTCAAAACTTAGCAGCTTAAAACAACACCCATTTATTATTTCACGGTTTCCATGAGTCAGGATTCTGGACAGTTTAACCGGGTCCTCTTCTTAGGGTCTCATAAGGCTGAAGTCAAGGTGTTAGCTGGGCTGCATTCTCATCTAGAGGTGTAATTAAGGAAGAATCTATTTCCTAGCTCCCTCAGGTTGTTGTCAGAATTTATTTTACTATGGTTGTGGAATTCTTGGAAGTTTGCTTCTTCAAAGCCAGCGAGGGAGAGAGAGAGTCTCTGCTACTTCAAGTCTCTCACCTTTAAACCCTCCTTTAAAGGGCTCATCTGATTAGGTCAGACCCACCCAGAATAATCTCCCTTTTCATTAACTCAAAGTCAACTGATTAGGGACCTTAATTACATTTGCCAACTCCCTTCACCTTTGCCATATAATGTAATATCAGAGGAGTGATAAAGATGATAGGACCTTTGTGCTTTGCCATATTCTGTTGGTTAGAAGCAAGTCACAGGTCCTGTCTACACTCAAGGAGAGAGGATTACACAAAGTCATGAATAGTATGGAGTGGGAATCATGGGGGTCACCCAAAGGCATGTCCATCACAGATGGTTTTGTCTCTCCTGAAATTTCTTGAATCAAATTATCATGGGCGTTTGGACCGTACATATAGCCTTGGCCTGGACTGATGGGCCCTGTACCAGTTGGTTTTTGCTGAATAACCAACAACCACAGAACCTAAATAGCATGTAACAATAAACATTTATTGCTTGTGCATCTGGAATCTGGGGGTCAGCAAGGAGGTCCTGCTGATCTTGGTTAGACTCCGTTGCAGATCAGGCTGATAACCGGGGCAACTCGACTGCTGTGCAGCTCTCTCCTGCAATCCAGCTCAAGCATGCTCTCTTGGTAAATGCAGAGGTGAAGGTGTAAAAGCAGGCCCAATTGCACACGTGCTTTTCAAGCCCCTGTCTTTGTCACGTTAGCTGACATGCCATTGGCCAAAGCAAGTCCCATGAGTGAGTCGAGTCAGAATGAGAGGGCCTGCAAGGTTACACGGCAAAGGGCATGGATACAGCGAGGAGTAAGGAAGTAGAGCCAGAAGGTGATGTACTCTAGAACCCTAACTCCATGCCAGAGCTTCACTCCATCCCCAGAATGAAAGGAAGATATCTATTGCTTGAAACTTAGAGTTTCCCAGGTGGCCAGACTGGAACTAACTTGACTTCCATGCTGTTGGCATGGAAAATAATATGAAAACAAGACACATAAATGGAATAGATGAAAAAGGCCATGCCTACAGAAATCCAACGACAGCAACACTATACTGGGTCATTCCAGAGAAGGTGTTTTGATCTTGGAAAGCAGTTGCCACAAGAAAATAAATGTAAATGGCTTCATGAAGATTATGGACCTGTATGCCAAAAGACCTGTTCTCCCAGGACGGATGGAAAACACAGAAACTGCAGGTGCCCATCTAACTGGGAAACTCTCATCAGCTTGTTAGTATCAGGATTTGTTTGTCTCTTTAATGTCCATTGAACCAATATAGTGAAGTCCTGATGCTACAGGATCAAATTGCAACAATGAAAGAATAAATTTAGATACAAAAGTAACTGAGATGCAAACATTCTCAAATTATTTTCTTCTGAACTCTTATACATATTTGTAGTGACTGAGAGAGACCTGGATTTGAATCCCAGCTTTGGACCTCACTAGCTCTATAATTTGGGGCAAATTGTTTAACATCCTCTGAATCTCTTTCCTCATTGGTAAGAAGAGGTACTGTTTTCACTTCACATGGTTGAGATAATAAAAGTAAAGGTCTTAGCCCTGTGTTTGCCACAGTGGTGGCACATAGGTATTCAAAGTTATTATTCCTACAAAAATATAGACTATACTCACCCATCATTGCATTTTTTTAAAAAGCTGATATTTTTTGTCACATGATGAAGGCCAATCGTGCAATTTGCCAGGATTATCTACATGATAGAATTTTACACAATCTTCATGTGAAAGGCCTTCCTTGAATGTTGTTTGTCCATCTGTCCTACCATTTGGAGGAATATCCTTTGCAGATGTTATATTGAATCACAAGATCTAAGAGGAAAACGCTTCCGAAAATTAGAAGATGATGTTCAAAAACTGCAGTAGCTCCCTATGATGCTAGGAAATCTTTTACTGTCTCTAGGTCATGGTTCCTTCACTCATCATAATAAATTCTAGTTAATTGCCCTCCACTGACTTTAGTGAAGGAGAATCAGATAATATCTATGGAGCTTTTTAATCTTATAAAAAGGCTCTCCCTAATCAAATTCATACATTCAACTGCAAAATTAATGACATTCTTAATTTTTTATTTTTCATTTTTATTAACATTTTTATTAATTAAATCTTAAATTAGGGCCTTTTCCCAGCAGCCTGTTTTTATTATTAGCAAAAATCAAAACATGCATCTCTAAGCCTTCATGGCAAAGTAGTTATCTGTATTTAATTTATTTCAGTCATTTTGGAAACATTCATGAAAGTTATTAAACATATACTATTTTTATGGAAAAGAAGGTTCACTTCTATCCAATCTGTTATAAGAGACAAAGGATGTTAGAAGCTGGTATGCAGCCTCTCCAAAGGGTGTCCATGTTGCATAATGTTTTATACATAATGTTTTACTGCAAGGTGACAGTTACTATACAAGGCTCTGAAATCTCAAATGTAATTAGGATCTTGTAATGAGCGGCATTATGTAGGGAAATGCTTCTGACCCATTGTGAATGAGAAAAAAATGTACAGAATCAAAAAACTCAATTAAGTTCCATTATGAACTAATTATCTTCCAAGTTCCATTGTTGTTTTAATACTTCAAGCTGAATCGGAGAAGGTGAATGTTGGAATACCATCAAAGATGATCGAAAATGAATTTGGTGAAAAGTGAAGTTTCAGTCAGGATGGTTATGTGGGTGTTTCATAAAGAGATGAATAGAACTTGGTCAACAGTCCCAACACAGTGGGGTATCGAGGCAGGGAAGTCTGGCACTTGGCGCCATATGCAAGAAGTTTAAGTGGTACTGGCGCAAGACCAACACTAGCAACACAATAATGGTGTACTCCGAGGCACCCCAGTTACTCCAGCCCCTAGAATAAAATGGTCGATGTTGCTTTCTTGGCATTTTTAATCAACTTCTCAATTATTACCCTGGCAATAATAATAGTATAAAGGTAAGCCTAAACAGTAATAGTATTTATGAAAGCGGATTGTCCCAGTGTAAAGCTATCCAATCAAATTTTACTACTCCATAAACATTTTGTTCTCTTAATATTCAAGCAAAAAATTAGTGACCTCTTCAAAATAATCGGGATAGTCCGGGTCTGTGTTTTGTTTGGAAAAGGTTTCTGAAACATTAAATCTTTTTCGTTGGGTTAAGGCCAAGTTGCAGTTTGCAGCAGTTTCACACATCTGCTTTATGGTGTTGCTGAAAGCATTCCCCCACCACATTAAACCCAGCCTTGGGGTTGTACAATGATGTAAAGTTTATTGAAACATTTTTACATTTGCTCTCTTTGACCACAATAGTCATTTTACTGTAACATATGCAATTAAACAGGAACAGTGTAAATGCGGTGACATTGATAGGATTCTCATTTGATTCTACTGAATGCTGTTATTGTTTTCATTCCTGCCTGACTGCTGTTGACAAAGATTTAGCAATATGAGTGGATTATCCTAGGCAATAGAAAAGCTCATTGTTTTTGTTTTATTACTCTTGTAATATTATTATTAAATATCTAAAGTGAGTTACAGGCTTCTTGGGGCCCAGAGCTCAGAGTTCAAAATGACTCTTCTTTGATTGGATCAAAATCTACTATTTGGCTGTGGCACTATCCAGAAGTATTGAGTTTATTACAGCTATGTTCAAGGAAAAGGTAAGGTGAGAAAGTATCACAAAGGATATGTAGTAGGGAGAGTCCCATGTTACTAAACTGTTAGTAGATGTTTTCCTGGATCTTATACAAGTGAGAATTAGTAGGAGAACAGAGGGCTAAGAGTTAGGGGGAAATTGGGGGGGGCGGGGATGGTGCCTTAGTTGCTCTACTACATCTCCAAACCTGAACACACACACTCAGCCTCCTCTGTGAGTGTCTCAGTATTGCCTGGCTTTATGCTGCCTTTGTCAAATCTGGCAGTCCTCCTGGTGAACATGTTCACAGGTGGAAATGAAAAGAGGTGATAGAAAATTCCCAAGATCATATATATATGTATGCATATATATTTTTTAAAGAGTCACTGAAGTGTGCCTGAAAATACTGTGCACCTAAGATACAAATCATATGGGGAGAATTTTCACAATTGACAAAATACTCTTGAGTTCTTCTCAACTGTGAGACTGCCATGAACAATGTTTAATTCAAAAGTTGGAGAAGGTATTTAGTAAGATTCAAAGGCAGATGTCATGGGGCTGTGAATATCTTGAAATGCTATGCACATATTTGTGGGTTGATATAGATATGCATTTGTGAATTTCTTTCTACAAAATGTTTTATTAGATTCTCAAAGAGGTGAGACCAGAGAAATATTAAGGGACTGCTTCTTGGGAGTATGGTAAGGTATAAGTTGCCTCAAGATCAAAAGAACTAACCCTTTGACTTGCAAATCCACTGAAAGGGAAAGAGGGGGAGGCAAGTGTAGAGCCCCTCAGGAAGTGGAGGGGCCCAGCCCTCTACCAAGAACTGGTGAAGGAAATTCACTGGAGTCAGGAAACTTCATGACAGACCAGTCACCAGGGGGCTGGGAAAAGTTTCTACTAGAGTGGAGATTGATGGGTGGAGAGGGGAGAGAGGAGAGTTGGGCCCCATACCAAAGAGGTGTTTTCAGCATCAGCCAGCTGCAAAACAAAACAGGCTTCCTTTTTCCTACATGTTCTTCCAAGCATCATAAATTCTCAGCCTGCTTCCCAACCCACATCCTGCAGAATGCAGCCAGAGCGGCAGCCTGCTGTACTTGAAACCAGCCATGCTAGGGATGCAGCTGGTCAAGATCCCTGTTGATGCTTTTCTAAGACCCACACTGGGCCCTGAGCTGCCCATAGATGCCGCTGCTCCAGCGTTCACTTAGGAATATGTCTCCTGAATCAGTTAACTAAGGCCATACTAATGCTGGATCACAAACAACCCCAATGATCATTTTCTTAGCTCCCCTGTCAGAAGTTGGGTTGGTGTTGGCCAGTCTCCATTGGCCTCGCTCCTGCATTGGCTGGGCATTAGCTGGAGGTAGAGCTGTTCCCTGTGTCTCTCATCCTGTTGGGATGAGCAGACTATCTGGGGACTGTTTTCCCCATGGCAATGGCAGAGGCACAGTGGGGCAACAGAAACTCGCAAGGCCTTGTAATGCCTACTCTCGCAACTGGCACATTGTCATTTCAGCCTCATCCTATTGGCCCGAGCAAGTCACATGGCCAAATCCAAAGGCATGTCATAAGGGAATATGTTCCATCTCTTTAGAGGGAGCAACTGCAAAGTCACTTAGGCCTGGTGAAGAATTACAGGCAAAAAATGCAATGTAACGTAACTACATCTACGTTAGTGAAGTCAACTTCTCATACATGACTTGGGTGTCTTCTTACCTTCTGGGAGTCTCAAAATTGGTGAGATCCAAAATTTAATCATCATTGTAATGAGAATGGGGGTGAGGGTTCAGGGAGAGGAATCAGTGGTTACTTGCTGCTTTCTTTTCATCCCCACAGCACTTAATATTGTATCATGCACATCTGCAGTGCTTAAGATCCCCGACAGAATCACCTTTGCTGCTCTTATTCACACTGAATGGAATTTGCAATATAATAATTTTAATTGGGTTTTTTAATTTAGAACGCACAATAGGAATATATAATAATAAATACAGGTTGACCTCCTAGTGTAGGCAGGACACTGAGCACTCAGGTTTGTTGGTGGTCTCCCTAGGAAGTGACAAAGCACTCCATTTATGGTTCAAATAACCTAAAATTATGCAACCTTAACATTATGCAAGCGTTGCCCCGTGCTTGCACCAAAGAACTGCACCATGTCTGGGTGGCTTTGCAGGTCTGTGTAACTCAGCCGATAGCTGGATGATCGTGCCCAACATCAAGCAGAACCACTACACAGTCCATGGTTTGCAGAGCGGCACCAAATACATCTTCATCGTCAAGGCCATCAACCAGGCAGGCAGCCGCAGCAGCGAGCCTGGGAAGTTGAAGACAAATAGTAAGTGCCGTGAGCTCAGCAGAGCTGTCGTCTCTCATCTGCTCTCCTTTCAGCTGCCTCTGTCCCCCTTTCTTTTCCTTTTCTCTGTCTCAGGGATTGCTGACAGCCTTGAAAAGCAAGTAAAGAGCCAATGTGGAGTAGTGGATTTTGTATCAGATACCTCTGGGTTCCAAAACTGACTCTACCCCTTAAGGACTGTGAGACCATCAATTCTAATATCTAATATTTCTAATTAGAAAATTAGAATATATATATATATATAAAGCCTGACACACAGTTGGGGCTCTGTAAATGGCAAATAGTATTGTTTTCCATAGTAGAATAGCAAATTAATAACTCCTTCTTCAGGAATTCTTCATTTTATTCCAGATATCTGTCTTAAGTCTGTGGTTCTCAATCAGAGGCAATTCTGCCCCCTTGAGGGACACTGAGCAATGTCTGGAGACATTTTTGATTGTCACAACTCGGGTGGATGCTACTGGTATCTAGTGGTTAGAGGCCACGGATGATGGAAAACCTGTCACAATATACAGGACAGCCCCCACAGCAAAGAATGATCTGGCCTATACAAGCATCTTGTAACACTGTTAATTTCCTCTGTCTGTCTCTGCCGACATATGTTTTGTTTTATCCTCTCTTCTTTCTTTACATCTTTTTGATCTAGAAATATTATGTTATATAACACAGTATTTCTTTGCATAAGACCTCTCAAAGGAAAGCAAATTGGAGTGTGTCAGTATTAAGCCTTGTTATAGGATTGCCAGCCAGTCAACAGGAACAATTAACTACTTTTCAAGAGGACCCTTCATTGAATCCAAATCCTTGATTTCAGTAGTCAAATAACTATTTTACTCCAGATATACGTGTTTAAGACACATACTCTTAAACATTAAGCTAATTTCTCCTCTCAATGTTTCTGCTGGTAAAGAAGATTAATTTTTAGAGATTAAATAGGAAAAAAAGGAATGAATGCATACACTGAGGTTAACTCTGTAGAATATATCTTTGAGACATCTTATTTGTGCTTCATCAGTTTTGCTAAAGATAATTTATTCATTTCATATAGACAGGTAATGTCATCTTCTATTTCTAGACATGCAATCATTGATCAGATGTTATCAAGTTATATACAAAAGGTTGTCAAACTTTTTCTGTAATGTGCCAAATAGTAAATATTTGGGTCTGAACGGGTCAGATGGTCTTGGTCACAGTTATTCAACTCTGCCATTGTGGTGGAAAAGCAGCCATAGATAACACATAAACAAATGGGCCGTGTTTCAATAAAACTTTATTGACAAACAGACAGTGGGCTGGATTTGGCCTTCATGCTATAGTTTGCCAAACTCCTGTGTGTACAAATATTACCGTGAGTTGAATTGTTTAGTAAAGTAAATGATTAATCTGTTCCTTGAACTAATTTGTCCTCATTGAAACAAAAGCCTTGAACTTGGACAGAGTAGGTGATGGTTTATTCGAGAAATGCATCTGAGGCGCAGGTGGAATTTGCTCACTGAGGATGCAGGGGGTCGGGCCTGACCTAAGCTGGCATGATCCTGCTCTGTGAGGGTGTGAGCTGAGGCAAGCAGGATACGTCTCATTACGAGGCCAGTCTTTCTGATGGCTCTAACGTTCTGATATTCTTCACTTTGTGAAGGACATGCAGAACATGGCCTTCATTTTCGATGATGGGTGCCTTTATGGAATTTCTTCCTAATCCACCCATTAGCGTCCAATTATTTTTACACACATTCTATCTCCCACCTTTAAAAATTGAAATATCTTAGGCAAAACTATCTTCAGACTCTTCTTGTCTTAGTTCATACTTTATCCCTAGTAGTTGCTGGTATGATTATTCCTGAGGACATTTTTTTTTTTATAAGACAAGCCAAAACTACACATGTAATCCAGCAGGTTTTACAGCCTCTGAGAATACCTGCTCCCTGCTCAGCACTTTTCTCAGCTTCCCCTTTAAGCTTTTCTTTGATTGGACAAAAATCTAAAACAGGTCAGCAAAGTATAGCCCACGGGGCAAATTTGGCTGCCTGTTTTTGTAAATAAAGTTTTATTGGCACACAGCCACACTTGTCCATTTACCTATTGTCTTTGGCTGCTTCCATGCTGCAATAGCAGCGTTAAATAGCTACAGAAGAGACCACATGGCCAGCGTAGCTGAAAATATTTACTATCCGGCCCCTTGCGGAAAAAGTGTGCTGGTCTCTGATCTAAAAGAAAGGATTTTAGAGGTGCTGGTGTCATGTTTGTATCCAAGCAGGAACTGGAAATCCTTTGGCCTACCTGTGTGTGACATAACACACACTACCCCATGCTTGCTGCCTCAGTTTCTCAGCCAGCATCATGTATTACCACAATGGAATTGATCACACATTTTCCCTATGATTGTCTGAGATCTGTACACTGGGCAGAGGAGATCTACTAATTGCACCAGTGACTGTGGAGTTTGGACACCATGGTATTTGCATCAGCTTATAACTCATTTCCTGACTTTAAATGTCTTGTACCTGATGTGGTGTTGAATGACAGGCAGTCCTCCAAACCAGTGTTGAATTCTCAAAGAAGTAACAGCTACAACAAGATGTTTAGGTGTGACTCTGCCAAGATTTTATAATGGTTCAATCTTCAAAACGCAAACGTGAATAATGAAATAGAGAGGGCTTTATTATATATATAAATAAACTCAGGAGTCGAAAACCTAGGTGTTACTATCACGTTCTTTTCCTGATCTTGTAGGCTGAAAAGTACACAATTTTATAGTCATTCTAAGCTCGTGAGAGTAGTGCTTTAATTTTGAACAATCTCAAAATAACATAAGCCTTTAGAATATTATACGTGTTAAAATCTGCAATCTTGATTTGTTTGGTTTCTGGTCTGAATTCTATTGAGCACGAATGCATTTTAAGCTGGATTGATCAAGGCAATGGTTGAAAATGAAGTCTTCACTTTCTCCTCTTTTTCGGGGTGCTGTTCAGCCAGTATGTTCCTGTGCTGCTTGTGTACAGCCAGGATCCATGAGGATAGCTTATACCACATGTTCTGGTTGATCCTTTCGCATGCTATTGCTGAAGAGGTAGCATAGTACCTTTGGATCTCCTATCTTAGAACTGACAGACTGGGAGCTTATGAAGGCAGGGACATGTTCATATTCACTATTTTACTGTGCTTTTAAATCTGATTCTGAAAATATGTTACTGGTCATGTTCAACAGTCCTTTTTCTCTTCCTCTTTTTGTTTTGTAAACTTATTTCCAGGCCAACCATTTAAACTGGACCCCAAATCTGCACATCGAAAGCTAAAAGTGTCCCATGATAACTTGACAGTAGAACGTGATGAGTCATCATCCAAAAAGAGTCACACACCTGAACGCTTCACCAGCCAGGGGAGCTATGGTGTAGCTGGAAACGTGTTCATTGATAGTGGCCGGCATTACTGGGAAGTGGTCATAAGTGGAAGCACATGGTAGGCAATTATATCTATTGTCCTCCAATTGTAAAAAGGAATATCTCATTCTGTACTTTGTCAGAGCATTGACCCATACCAGGGTCCATCTTAAAGAATAATATGCAGAAAAGCTGTATCAGTCAGCTGTTGCTATGGTAATGCTGTGTAACAAACACCCCAAAATTCAGTGGCTTCAAACAATTACTTATTGCTCACTAACGCCCACATCTGTGGGTTAGCTGATCAAGGCTAATCTCAACTGGGCTTTGCTTTAAGCTGTAGGTTGGATCTAGGTCTGTCCTATGTGTCTCTTCATCCTCTTTGGACATGTGGCCTACCCAGGCCGTGTCCTTCTCAAAGAGCCCAAGAGGGCAAGCCCAACTATGCAAGCACATTTCAAGCCTCTGCTTGCATCATGTCTACTAACTTCTCATTGGCCAAAGCCAGTCACATGGCCAAGCCCAAAGCCAATGGTGCAAGGAAGTATATTCTTCCCATCAAAATGAGAGGAGGGAGTGAATATTTGCCAAGCAATCATTTAATCTACCATTCAACCGATTAAAAAAAAAAACCTTGTTTTAAGTCCATCCATTTTTTTATTTATGGCAAGAATTGCAGCTAAGATGATACAGTCCTGGTCCCTGGAAGAGCTGCTCTTTTATGCCTTAAAAAGGGTCAACAGGGGCTGTCCCAGTGGCGTAGTGGTCAAGTTCACGCTTTGGCGGCCCGGGGTTCGCAGATTTGGATCCCAGGTGCGGACCTGCACACCACTTGTCAAGCCATGCTGTGGCAGTGTACCATATACAAGATAGAGGAAAATTGGCGCAGATGTTGGCTCAGGGACAATCTTGCTCACCAAAAAAAAAAAAAGGGTCAGCAGACTACAGCGCTTGGGCCAAACCTAGTCTGCTACCTATTTTTGTAAATAAAGTTTTATGGGAACACAGCCATGCTCATTCTTTTCCCTATTGTCTATGGCTACCTTTGAGCTACACAGCAGAGTTGAGCAGTTAAGACAGAATCCAATGGTCCACAAAGCCAAAATACTAACTCTCTAGCCCTTTACAGACAAAGTTTGCAGATTCCTACTCCAAAACATTACTCTTCATCATTTTAAAAAACTAATTTCTGTTGCCTTGTATGTTTTATGATTCTAGACTGGACCAATTGGTACAAATAGCTAAGAGCTGAGGGCTGGGAAGGAGCAGTGATCGTCGGCTGGGAATCATTTCAAAAGGTCTGGTAGATCCAGCCCAGTGACTTCAGCCCACTGAGTTCTTTAAGCCTAAGGGCAAAGGTCAGGGTGCAGTCTACATTGGAATTGGTTTACCTTGCCAAGTTAGCCTCACAGAGCTGACCTTACCTATCCCACAGGCTGCACCCCTTTCTCTGGCCGTCGGTCTCACGTGCCTGCTTGCTATTGCTCAAAAAGGGAGCTGTTTTATTTTTATTTAACAAGCCCTCATCTAGCACAGCTATGTGCCAGGCACTGATCTAAGCATTTTACAGATGCTAACTCATTTATTCATCCTAACAGAGGTAGGTGCTAGTGTCCCATTTTACAGATGAGATGACTGAGACACACACGCAAGTTCACAAAGCTCAGAGGTGGCAGAGTTAGGAAGTCTGCAATCAGGGTGCAATCTCCTAACCAAGGGTCCACGAACATTGTAAGGGACCAGAGAACCACTATGTCTGGGTTTGCAGGCCTGATGATTTTTGTTGCAACTACTCAACTCTACTGTTGTAGTGGGAAAGCACCCATAGACCATATAGCCACGAATGGGGCTGGCTGGGCGCCAATAAAACTTCATTTATAAAAACAAGCAGAGGGCCAGATTTGGCCCATGGCTTGTAGTTTGCTGATCCCTGCTCTTAACCACCACGCTATATTTTTGGAACATTATAATTACTCCTTAGGGCTTACAGTGGTGTGCTTAATGAGTGATAGCTTAATCCTTCCTTTAAAAAAAAATAAAACTCAAAACTGCATAACCTGAAAATGATGACTATTATAACTGAGTTATTTTTGATATAAGGATGCTAGAACACTTCTTATTTGTTTAAAAAACCTTTCAATTCACATCTATGCAAATAGTACATTATGTCAAAGTCTCTTATAGTGTTGGTACAAGTCAGCTGAAATCTAAGAAGTGAAATCATAAGCTTGTGTGGCTCATTTTTCCCAACCATGGTACCCATATTGGCCAAGCAAGTAGATTTTCTTCTGTTGTGATCCTCACGATTCTCTTTGCCCAGAACCTTTTCCAGTTCCAACATCCTGCTGGAGGATGGAGGACAAATCCTTCCTCCCCAGTCAGCTCTGGGCCAGACTGGCATTTATAGTCCTTAGCTGCACTGAGGCGAGATGAAAGCCCAAAGGAAAATACAATGCATTTGTGCAGGTGCAAAAGAGCAAACATTTCTAGTTAATTAACGTGCTGTATTAATCTGGGATGGAATCCGGTGTCTAAATAATTACAACCCCATTAATAATTATTTACGATAAATGATACCTGATCATTATGATCTCATTCCCATTGATGAATGGTGCGGGGAATTCCACCAGCCCACTGCAGTGATGTAAACACAGATCAGCATTACCTTGAAAACACCCTCCAGATGTCAAAAACAACTCACGAGGAGGGAAAAAATTCTAAAATTAATTGCCACACTTTGGATCTTTACAAACCTGACTGTGTCAATTTCAGAAAATTCTCATGTAGCAAGTAGTTTAACATTTCCTGGGAGATGTTAGCAAGGAAGGGGTAACTCCGAGGAGCAAATGCCTACGATGCCTTGACTTGCAATAGCTAATGACACATATATTTTCTTGTGAAATATAGTCCTGACTTTAAATTAACATATATGTTATGGTCTGTGCAATGGGGCATGTTAACATTGCTCTGAGAAACATAATTTTTATACTTTTTGAATTCTCCGAGTCTCACTGCGTAACTTAATGGAACATTACCTTCTGCCTGCACCTTTCAAGTTCAATGGAAATATGTACATAGTTTTACAGATTAATGATAATATAATGGTATTTTCCTTTGCTTAATGGACTATACACGTACTTATTTTCTTACTCTCTAATGCTGTTAACGTGCACTTGGTGTCTTATGAAATGGTGTTAACTAAACGTGGGTTCACGCAAAGATTACTGGGCCAGAAGTCAAGGGCGGGGGGTGAGATTGTGGTTTTTGCTCCTAATTTTAACCTGCTCTGTGTTTTCCCATTTGTTAAATGAAGTCAGTCATACCTGCCACAGCTACTTCATAGGGGGTTCAGTTAAGGTTCAAATGGGAAATAAATATCAAAGTTCTTTAATAAAAAATACAAATAGTGTGCAGCCATGAGAAGGAAACAGTGTAGACATATGGCTATTCTGTGATGCAAATGCAGGTTCCGAGTTATATGGAAAATGGAAATGGTGTCTGCCAAGGCATAGAGAACATCTTTGGGGAGAGTACTTAAAATTGCAAAACAAAAACGTTTCCAAAGTGTCTTAGTGAGGGTTCAGCAGAAAAACAGAAATCACTCGAGAGAGGCCGGCCCAGTGGCATAGTGGTTAAGTTCACACGCTCTGCTGTGGCGGCCGGGGGTTCATGGGTTTAGATCCCAGGTGCGGACCTACATACCACTCATCAAGGCCATGCTGTGGCGGCATCCCATATACAAAAGTAGAAGATTGGCACAGGTGTTAGCTCAGGGACCATCTTCCTCAAGCAAAAAGAGGAAGATTGGCGACAGATGTTAGCTCAGGGCCAATCTTCCTCACCAAAAAGAAAAAGAAAGAAAGAAATCATTCTGCGTACTTCAGGGAGGAAGGGAATCATAGGCTTACGGCAGCCCTGGAAGGGCTGGGAATGCAAGTCAGCCGGGGAGCTTGCTGCTCCGGTCCATGAGGCCAAGACAAGCTGTGGGTGCTGGAAAACTACCCACAGCCCAGAGGCAAGTATACCCAGGAGTTCACCCAGAAGCTTCCACAAACCTCACCTCTACTGTCTACTGTCTGGAAAAGACTGTTTCCCCTCCTCTTAGAGCTTCTGGATCTTGTGCAAGGGCGTCACAATGGCAGAACCTGAGCCAGACTATTACTGCTGGAAAGGGGATTCTGGGAAATGCAGAGTAGGATTTATGAGAAGGAAGAGAGGAGGCCGAGTTGACAGCAGACAGGCTGGTATACTGGGTTTAACGGATTATCAATTCCATCCTCTTTTTTAATTCAGTGATGCCATGTTATATTCATTTTCTTTTTTAACACATCACTCTTAAAATGATTGTATTTTAAATCCAACATGTGATTTTTAAGAGAATATCATTTTATCAAAGACCAATGAAGTTTTTCTCTCTGCATTGGGTAAGGTACCATATGTCAATATCCACTTATTTATTTTTTGTGTGTGTGAGGAAGATGAGCCCTGAGCTAACATCCGATGCCAATGCTCCTCTTTTTGCTGAGGAAGATTGGCCCTAGGCTAACATCCATGCCCATCTTCCTCCACTTTATATGGGATGCCACCACAGCATGGCTTGACAAGCGGTGCGTCGGTGCATTGGTGCGTGCCCGGGATCCGAACCTGCAAACCCTCTGGACACCGAAGCGGAGCGCACACACTTAACCACTGCACCACCAGGCCAGCCCTCAATATCCACTTAGACTGGTTTCTGCTATAACATATTAAAAGTTGAACTCTGAGTCATTCACTCTTTATTAAAAATAGTGGATTTTCCTTTATCTTAATAACTGTGAAATACTACGAATATTATGAAGACATACCTCAGCAGAGTAAAGAGATTAAGAAGCTTAGAATATTGTAGAAAGAATTCTTAACATTTTTTTTTTGAGCAGTGAGAGAACATTTAGAATAACCAGGATATCCATCTGCTCAAAGACATTCAGAATTTTTTTTAATGTAGTAAGAAATATAATCAGAAGGGCTCTTGGCAGTGATGAATTGCACAATTTCTGGTGAGAGAAGGCACTAGAGAATGTTTAAGTTTGTAGCCTTGTGAGTCATCCTAGGTTCAAATTCTGATTCTGGGACTTATTAGTAATGTGTCATTGGGCAAAAATAATAAAATGACAGTTACATACCCAGCCTTGTCCCCAGGATTTTACATGTATTCCTTCCTTGATTGCTCAAAATAACCCTCAGAGATGGAGACTGTCATTGTCTCTGTGTTATAGATAAGAAAACTGAGGCTGAGATGACAAGGAACTTATCCCCATAAAGGAAAATTATTCTCCATGCTTGCCTTTTCCAAAGTGCACTCAAAGTTGTGGAAAATGACAGATGTGGTGTCAGTTGAAAAATTCAAAGAAAGTCAAAAGGAAAAGTCTAGAGTTGTGCTGTCCAATATGGTAGCCATGGGCCACATGTGGCTATTTCAATAATTTAACAATTAAAATTGAAGTTCGGTTCCTCACTCTCACCAGCCACAGTTCAAGTGCCCGATAGCCATATGTGTCTCGTGGCTACCATATTGAACACAGCAGAACATTTCAATCATTGCAGAAAGTTCTATTGGACAGCACTGGTCTAGAGAATTCATTGTGTCTTCATGAGGGTTTAAAAAAAAAGGCAGAAAAACACAAAGTTCAAATTCTCTTGTAATGTCCAAACTGAAAACAGGAATGTGGGTAAATACAATGGCCCCTTTCCAGCCGCTGTGTGTTTGGGAGGGAAGAAGATGGGGAACACATGTGTCAGGGTTCTTGCCAAGCTTTCACTTAAGGAGAACGAACAGGGACCACAGAGGATCATGTTTTCATGACCCCTGAGGACTATAGAAAGGATTTAACATGCATATGCAACATGGCTCATTGTTTTTGTTGTTGCTGTTTTACGACTGCAGGTATGCCATTGGCCTTGCTTACAAATCAGCCCCGAAGCACGAGTGGATTGGGAAGAACTCGGCTTCCTGGGCGCTGTGCCGCTGTCACAATAACTGGGTGGTGAGACACAACAGCAAGGAAATCCCCATCGAGCCAGCCCCCCACCTCCGGCGTGTCGGCATCCTGCTGGACTATGATAACGGCTCCATCGCTTTCTACGATGCTTTGAACTCCATCCACCTCTACACCTTCGACATCACATTCTCGCAGCCTGTGTGCCCCACCTTCACCGTGTGGAACAAATGTTTGACCATTATAACTGGCCTTCCCATCCCAGACCATCTGGACTGCACAGAGCAGCTGCCGTGAGCACCTGGCCACGTGGAGCTGCTTTCTAGGGAATAAAAAGGGTTATGGCCACCATTTCGGGGACAGAAAAAGCACAGCCTTCAAGAGCGTGATTAAGTCTCGCCAAGAAAGTGTCCAGAAATCAGCTAAGATAGGACTCAAAATGGGCGATTCCCCCCGTCACTGTGTTTTGTATTAAGTACAGGCTTTAATAATTTCTTCAAATTTTTTTTGTATTTACAGGAAAATTTATAGATTATTTATAAAAGAAACATAACCAGGATTACAACTCTTAGGAATTATTTGCTTGTGCACATTAAGAGGCCCATAAGTTTACCAGCTCTTTACAGCCTTTGTTTCACCAGTCTATGGGCTTGCGGAAAAGCTCTCTTGTAGTTTCATATGCTTATTCACCTTCTCACCTCATCGTATTTCATACTGATCTCACCGTAGGTCCTGTCACTTCAACAGTGCATAACAGAATATGCAACTAGTTTAAAAATAAAAAATAGTTTTGAACCTAGTGGGGAAGTAAATGAACTTTCTTACTCAGGTTTATTTTGAGGTGTTTTAACTGTGATATCAAAAACTTTTATTAGATCAACTAGGGTGGAGAGCAAAAGAGAGAATGCAAAGAATTGACTTTGGAGCTTGGAATCTGCCGTGGCTAAATCTTTAACTGCCCTCTGATGGCTGCTGGGATAATGTTGGAAAGAAGGATTCTGAAACCTTTGGCTATATTTTGCCCTGCTTTTCCCAGGATTAAGGATTCTGGGAGAACATTAAGAATGAGATTGCAATTGAAAATAGTCACTTTGAATCCTACTGATTATTCAGAAATTCAGGCTGATTTGTGTTTTATCAGAAGTAGGATTCTATTTCATGATATAAATCTATTTCGCTCTTCCTTTTAATAGTTGCTTTAGGCTTGTGAACTTTCTTGACTACATTTAATAACTGTCCTGTTTCCCCCTCCCCCAAATCATTTTTCTTTTCTTGCTGGGGCTGAGGAAATAAACATTTTCTGTCACAAATGGCAGCACCACTTTGGATTGATTTTACTCTCCAGGACATCAACACATGGCCCCTACCACCACTACCATGTCCGAATATAAGTCACTTGAAAAACACTTAATATTTATGAGTTGGTAATGACAAGGGACGTTGCATCAAGTACTATTCACTAGTACCTCAAAAGTTACTACACACAGACCTTTATTGAACACATCTTGCAAGATGAAGTCCCTCTATATATTCTAGTGTAGTTTACCATAGAGTTGTAAGAAAAAAAAAAATCAAACTTGCTATTCCCATGCTGGAACCTGCTGATAGAATATCAGATGGGATTCTTGGCATGCTGACCCGACAGGACGGAATGGTCTGTGAATTAAGGCTTTCTCAAGCAGTCCGTGGACCTGGAATCTGCCATTGGTTCTACCTTGACGAAGGGCAGGACATCTATAAATCGTTACATTTGCTAAAATATTTATCTGGGCTACTGGGTTGGCCATTTTGACTGAACGGACTGCTGGATTTAGGCATTGTTTTTAGTGATTTCGTTTTTAACCAAATCGACCAATTGCTTCCCTGACATCCGTCCAAAGACCCACGGTTTCAGCATCACGTTATGTGATTGTGAGTCTGGACTCCACGGGCGGCTTCCGGGGTGCTTCTGTCCTCCTCACGGGCAGATGCTTTCCTTTTTCTTAACAGATAGAGTCTATATATTTCCTATATTATTTATACCCAGATGAATATTTTGATAGCTACTTAGGACAATTTCACATCTAAAAGATGGACACCTCAATGGAAAAAAATTAATCGTTCTCTAGAAACTTAATGAGATTTTTTTTTTTTTTACAATATAAAAACTGTGTATTTGCCTTCCCTGCATAAGCTGAAAAGGTTGTCTCAGTACTTTTTACATACTCTTTTTGGTAGCTGGATAATAGATATTTTAATGCACTTTGTACACTAACAGGTTTTAAATAAAAGGGTCTAAAACTCAGCTTCTGAGTTTTTTAAATCACGGTTTCCAGGTACCAATAAATGCTACAGTTTGCCTTATGATGTTAATGTAAAGCATTTACCAGAAGGATAATATTTCCATGGATATAATGTTTTTCAATACAAAGAAATTACTACTCAAATTTTCACTGCAAGCCGTTTAGGTTATGTTTTGGCTATTTTTCTAAGGACAAGAGGGATTATGTTATAATTTTGTCGTGGAAGTCTCACTCTGCTAACTTAAAAACATTGTGGATAGTAGCAGTTACTATTTCCATGTTGTCATATTTACAGGAAAATATGTATATGGTGAAAGGCTGCAGTGTACTTTCATTACTGTAATGATGTGGAAAAGATTTCCATATGGATTTTTTGAAAGTCTAAAAAATATATGCTATAAACATTTGCTGCAGTACAATTCTTTAAATGGATTGGGGTCACGGTGTTTTGTTTTTGAGGTCCTCACTTCACAGGAAGAGGCATTGCGATACAAGGGAGAAAGAGATGGCAGTGCCAATTAAATCAATACAACAAAATTGATGCAGCATCGACCAAGGCTGCCAGGCCCAACGTCGTGGGTATATGAACCGTGCTGTTGCCCAGAGCCCCGGGCCCAGAAGGGCCCAGTGCTTGGTTTAATGCTCTGCTGTCACCGTCTTGAAATTCCTAGTAATTTTTGAACAAAGGGCCTGCCTTTTCATTTTGCACTGGGCCTTGCAAATTATGTAGCCAGTCCTCAGAACTCAGAAACATGGTACCTCTCTTCCTGGTGGATATAAATGAAGAAACTTGGATCCAATGTTGAAAGTGGCTGGCCATATAATTCAAGTAGGAATCTAAATGGATTAAGATGAGAGTGGGCCTGGGTGAAGATTTTCTTTCCAGCTTTAAAAGAAAATGACTTCAAAAACTGTAAATGATGATGATTTCTGCTGGAAAAGAGGAAAAGGCCTGATGACAGGCAGCCTTTTTATTATGGTACTGATATATTGACCCTAAACTTCCTGAGGAATCGAACCAGCGCCTTCCAGTGAACATGAAATTCTATTTCAGCTCCAGGCACATATGCAATGCCTGCAGAGACACAAGCATTTATGCTCGCGTACAGGTGCTTTTGGTGTTGGGAAGTTGACGATCTGGTCTACCCTTATAAAATGTTTCAGAGGATACAAAGACAATGATGGGGGTGGGAGGATGTTTTTAAAATGGTGCTTCTCAACAAGAGGCGATTTGGCAGTGTCTGGAGTCATTTTTGGTTGTCCCAACTTGGGGGAGGGTGCCACTGGCATCGAGTGGGTAGAGACCAGGGATGCTGCTGAACACCCTACAATACATGGCACAGCCCCCCACCCCCACAACAGAGAATGATCCAGCCCAAAATATCAATAGTGCCGCAGTTGAGAAACGCTTGTTGTTTGGGGGGATTTTGAAAGCAAAACTCTCACAAATATCTTTTATTTTTCCTGTAATTGACTCAATGCCTAATATACCAAAAAAAGGAAAGGGACACCAAATCAGTTCAAAACCTTCACTGCGGTGGCTCCTTCACTTTTAAAAATATTTACAAAATCGTTACAAAAATCTGAAATCTGAAAAGCAATTGAAGCCTGTGTAAATGGGAATCCACTGATAAGTGTCATGAAGATCTGGATGTGATTTGCTTAGTTTGGAAATGAAAAGTCGGTTCAATCGCTGGTACTTGAGTCACACTGCCAAGCCCTCAGCCCAGAATATCTCTCGATTGCTGTTGCTATCTGGTTCTAAATAAAATCATTTTTGTGGTTCCAAGGCCCACTGTCTCTGCCTGTCTCTGTTGCCTTTTCATCATTTTGTTTTTGCATTCATGATTTCCACAAATATTTATTCAACTTCTGCTGTGTTTTTATACTGCTATGCAAAGTAAAATTCGTTTTCTTTTGTGCCTAAACTTTCTCACATCCACCATCCTGCCTCTCTACAGTCAAAATAGTTATTTTACAAGATTCAAAATATCCCCCAGAGAATATAAAACTACAGTAAAAGAAAACCTATACAGGAGTGGAGATCCAGAATAAGAATGGCTTGATTTCCAGTCTTACAGACAGAGTGGAGGCGGGGAGAACAAGGATGATTGGAGCAGAAAAGTGGGAGTTTTCACAGTGTGGTCTGGAACAATCCCAGCAGTTGGTCCATAAATCGATCCCCAACTCCATCCCATGGCTCACAAGACTTGACTTGCATTTGAGACGCAATTGGTGTAGGTCAGTGCTATGCAGAGTGTAGTCAGGAGTCTGCAGCATCAGCACCACCTGCGAGCTTGTTAGAAATGCCAGTTCTCCAGCCCCACCCCAGGCCTGCTCATCAGACTCTCTGGGGGCGGGACTCAGCAATCAGCTCTAACAAGCTCTTCAAGAGGATTTAAAAGTGTGTGAAGGCCCACTCTGGAGGGCTTTATCCAGTCTCGTATCCCACATGAAAATGCACTTATAGTCTGAAACGTGTTTTCAAGGCAATGTGCTTTAGAGGCAGCTTAATGTAATGCAGTGATTCTTGACATGGTTGAGCATTAAAATCACCTTTTTTACAAATGCTAATTCCTTGATCTCATCCTGAAAGATTGGGGATGAGAAGGTCTAGAGTGTGGCTCAGCACCTTGTACTTTTTTTTAGGAAGTGATTATAAAGTGCAGCCAGGATTGGCAGCCAATGCTATAATCACAGTGCTCAGCACCTTTTCTATAAAGGTCAGATAGTGAATATTTTAGGGTTTGTGGGCCATATGGTGGTCTCTGTGGCAACTACTCAACTCTATGACTGTAGAGTGAAAGCAGCCATAGAGGATATGTCAATGAATGGGTGGCTGTGTTCCAATAAAACTTTATTTACAAACACAGGCATTGGGCTGCATTTGGCCCACGCTGTAATTTCCCAACTCTTGCCATAGCAGATACAATATTGGACTGGTGGCCCAAAGCCATCAGGGCATTCTCCAACTATCCCCTCACTCACTGAGAACTCAGCCATGTCCCCTCATGGCTCTGGGCCTCAGTGAGCTCTCAAGTCCGTTCCAACTTTGAGTGACAGCAATTCTGTGACATCACAGAACTCATGGAGAATTAGTTAAGGAGTGCTTAAGACTGGGCCACTCAAGGGTTATTAGAAGATTCTTTCATTCAACAGAATAGGGGGTGCCAGTTCTAATGATTAGCTTTACCTCTTTCATAATTTTGACTTGAATCAGCCCTTTTCACAAGTGACAGGTGTGTAAAATATATTCCCTTTAGTAAGAGTTTTGAAGTACATTTAATTTGAACTTTTGAAACTGAACACTGTTGTAATTAATCACCTTTCAAAGACAACTTGAAAGGCATGTCATACACTCCAGAGAGTAGCCAACATCCCCCTCTTTTTTAAATTATTATTTTCAGGGGCCGGCCCAGTGGTGTAGCAGTTAAGTGCGCACGCTCCACTTCGGCAGCCCAGGGTTCACAGG